AACTTTTTATCTTCTTCTACCTTAACGCAGAAAATATCCCCCCTTTTTGATTAGCCCCCAAGTTCCAAAACCTTTTTTTCTCTGACATCCCAGCTTCTAAGTATAGGCGGTTTGGCCTATTTAATATGACTGTAGCTTACTTATGGGGACTGTGCTTCTTTTCCTGCTTCGGGGAGAGAGCATCGCCTTGCTCTCTCTACCTGCTTTAGGCAGGACTAACTCACCTCTGTTGTGTCCTATGTGTGTGTGCTGAAATGGAGGATGTGTGTATGTGTGTGTGTGTGTGTGTGAGAGTAGGGGGGAGGTCTACGTTACATAAGCCTTCAAGTCAGCATTAGAGGTACAATCAAAGGGTTTAATTGATGTGTATGCGTTTTAGTGGGAAGAGCTGCTGTATTACGGAACAATGGGGCTGTTGTCACTAAGCGTCATTGTTAAGTTTATATTTGTAAGGGCCTCGCTAGCAAATATAGACTTAAAAAGAAGAATGGGGCTTTTTGAGTGTGAAAAACAAAGCAAAGAAATAAAATAAATAAATGAGCGCAGCTAATGTGGGTGGTGGTTACTGTCGGTTCTGATTGGAAACATGAGCTTCAACAGGATCGTTGACATTTCTTCCGGCAGGGACGGCAAGTCCACCTGGACGGGTGATGGCGCCGACATGGGACATAGCAGGGGAAACATTGATGTTACCAGTTAACTCAAATAAATCGCTTAAAATCAAATGGCCGCTTTGTATTTCCAGCCAAACAAACTTCTTAACCCTTCTGCAATTTGTATCGTGAAGAAATGTATACAATTTCTCTTTGTATGGGTTGGGAAGTACCGTTTTGCTTAGTCTAGAAAGACACTTATTTTGTCAATTCTCAGCAACAGGAATGCAAAATATGTCACTTTTTTTAAAGCCATGTTTCGCTGAATTAGTCAATGTCATAGCAAAGTTCATAGTTTGTTCTGAATTTAAAATGAAGGTACTAAAAATACGATGAATCATTTGTGTCGTAAGAAATGTTTTATTTTTTTCAGCAGCATTTTATTCATAAAAAATATGACTGGAAATAAATGTCTGACTGATAGAGGTCAGATAATTATTAGCAGGATTAATGCTGTCACTTTTGCTTTCGGATTCAAGCATCCAGCATCCAGAGGTGAGGGAGTTTTCATCAGAACAGTGAGACTGTTCACATGGAGTAGAATGAGATTATTAGCACTTTCAGTTGCTGCGTTCAAAAGATTTGTTTGTTTATTTAAGAACAAATCTGCGGGGTAACTCTTATGTGTTTTTTTCTGGCAAATATCACAGTTTAAATGTAGATTTAATCTGACAAATGGGCCTCATTGGAATCCATAAATGAATTTATTGAGTATGACAGTGTATACTGTAATATAAAAACCACACCGCAGTAGTAATGCTCTTCTCCCCTTGTGTCTGTTATCCTTCCTCCTTCTCTAAGAAAAGTTGTCTGTCACTGTTTATATATAGAGCAGGTATGCTGAGGAAAGTTTTTTTTAATGTTAGAAATGAATATATTTTAACTGTGCATGAAATGAGAGCAGAATTATTATCGCACCTTGATCCTGTAAATATGCACATTTTCCATCCATTCCTGAGAGAAGAGGAGAGATGTTTTCTAGATCTAAATCACACACAGCACTAAGCCAGAAGACTGCCACAACTGTTGTGAGCAGCATTTTTTTTGGGTAAACACAGACGGAAATGAGGCGATTACACATTTATAGAGCTGTTCTCTGGATGATTTGGATATTTCTGCAGGGGAGGTGGCCGGTGCAAGATGGAAGAAGAGGCGTAAATGTTGGTGGGAGTGCGTTTGCCCTGCAGCACATGTTGTGTCGGCGCTCTTTTTGTGCACATGCACTTACGCAAGTGTGCTTCTCACGAATAAATCTCTAAACACTCGAGCGTTACCTCCAATCACACGAGTACATAAAGTTGCTCTGTGAATCTAAAAGGAACAAAATCGCAAATCGGTGACGTAAATGCGGTCAAAAGCAGGTGGATGTTTTTGAAATTGAGGGAGAAAATATAAGTAACGCCCATCCAGTGGCATAAACTGATTTCCCTTCAAATTGCGGCAAAGAAACCAAACTATTGTTTTCGTTTGTCTGCAGAGTCAAAAGTGAACAAACGTGGCCCTTTCCAGTGCGGTGCAGGGAATTTCTCTGGCAGAAAGCGTGTTTCTGTCCTGCTCTGGGCCGCCCACCAGCAGCGGCAGCAGCTGCAGCCACCACACTTTACTGAGCCGTTCTGCTGAGCCATGACAATCGCAACGGAAACTGGATGACACCGATAACCCGAGTGTCATTGACACACTGGCGTATACCTGTCGCTATGGCAACCGTGCCTTCAGTTTTGATCTTCCTGGACATTAATTAGTCATAATAAATCTACCAAAAAAAAAATCTACTGTTTGGCCTTTTGAGGAAACAAAGACAGTTCATCTTGATCAAACTGCATTATATCGTCTGAGGGCAGAGCAAAGACCTCCAAGCCACCAGGGGGCCTCCAAGAAAACCAGAATGATCAAATTTACCTTTCTACGATTAACACCTCATGCAACAGAGAACTAAACTTGCAATACTTAATGCGTAAAATGAATCACTGCAATCGTATTGCAAATATTGCTTTCTTTTTTTTTTTTTTACTTAAATATTTAGTTGTTAAGTATTTTGAAAAGTAATAAACAGTTAAAGTCTTTATTTCTAAGCTGACTTTTAGCAATCTGAAACGTCATTGATGGATTGTGGTAATGCTGTTTTATTTAAACCACTCAGACTAAATGAAGACGGTAAGAAAGTTATTCACTTCCGAGGATTTAGCAGAACCTCCCCGACGCTGGAGATGTTATTGAAGACGTTTCTAGAGTGCAGAAGCAAATTGCATTTCACTGTGTCTGCTCTGGCTGACAGAGACGCATTTGTGGTCAGATTGAGACTCCTCAGGGGTTGCCACTGTGAACCCTTATCTTTCGGTGCAACCAAAGTATTTATGGTCTCGTTAGACCTCCCCCCATCTCCCCTCATCTTTTTCTGCTTCCATTCTGCAAGCACACACAGGAGCTCGGAGAGATTGCAAAAACAAAAACTAGATCATCGTCGCAGTCTATGTGCACTGCAGGGCATGCAGCTTACAATAGCAGAGGATTCTGTTGCAGACCGCCTCACGACGGAGTCGCACAATCGCTGAAATTCAATCAAAGGACCTCTAAAAACTCCTGCGTGTGACAGGTACCAAACGTGTCTCCGGGCCACGAGCGTTGACGCGGCGGACGGGAAATTTTCAACGCCGGCCAGAAACCACAAGGAAAAGGTCAAGAGGCATAATGAGGCCGGAACGCCGTTTCTTAAATCTGCGTGACATTTTCAGTCGATACGTGAGAGCGGCCTTGTTGTGCGGTCTGCCGCCAGAGCCTCGCTTAAAAGAGCAAACGGTAATCAAACGCCCAAAAAGATGAGAAACAAACAAAAAGAAAGAGTCCCTCGGACGAACGCCAGCCCCCACAAGGAGCGCGTGCATTACTCATCCCCCACAGAGCCGCCTTGCTCTGGTGTGTTGTGGGAGGACTGGGGGTGGGCGGCTGTGCAGGAGATTGAGAGCTGCCTTGCAAGACTTGCATGACTTCAGCTCGCATAAAAGATACTGTATCTACATAATGCTTCCTCATCTTCCCCCTCAAAAACAACACACACAAGAAAAACCTCTTGTGTGTGTGTTTGTGTGTGCGTGTGTGTGCCTTCCTAGCACTTTCAAACTCATCAGGAAAGCCAGTGTGGTGGAACCCAGACATCTTGATTCACCCGCGCTTCACCTTCAGAGCCAGCCGCGCACTCACGCACACGCACACACACACGCCGGCAGCACACACAACGAGTGAAGGTCTTGTTCTTGTCCCAGGTGCAGAGAAATCTGTGAAGCAGCGTGTGGCTTGTCCCAGTTCCTCCACAGTACCTGTGTGCGTGCGGACGCGCCCGAGCGCGACTGCGTATTGCGACAAGACTGACCCATTTGAATCCTGACACAGGCAGGCGCTCGCCGATGCGTTGCCTGAAACTAGTTCAACATGTAGGTTAAGCTGCAGCTGGCGCTTCCGCGTGGCAGAGAGCGGTGGGCGCCATGTTGGCGCGGGCCGGCAGAGAGGTCAAAGAGCACGGCGGGATTGCTGGCGCGTATTCGCAACTAGAAACTTGATGCCAAAAAACAAATAAATAAATTGCTGTCGCCTGCAGAAATAAAGGGAGGGAAGAAGGAAGGGGCGGTGGCGGAGTGGACAGCCACTTGAATTTGTTGGGCCCTTCGAGCTAAGCTAATGTCGGACTATATTCCTCAATACAGGAAACCTTCTGTAAGCTGCAACCTTTCTTTATACGTTGAATACGCTTGATAATTTTTTCAAACATCTCAGAAAGAGCCGAGCTTCTTAAAGAGACAGAAGCCCAATATAAGACACTTCATCATAAAGTCAAATTTCTCTTGTTATATTTTATATAAAGTGCTTTTCCAGAACTAGTGAAGGTAAGACAGTTGATTGTGCTCTAAAGTGGCAGCATGTGGCTGGAAAACATAACCCTGCCCCTTTAAGGCAGCCGGACGACTGAAGTTGGGGTTTAGGCAGACTCAGTCCAGAAGAATATGCAAATATAAGAATCAGCCACTGCATGTGTGAAACTGGTGTTGAGTCTCACAGCTTCCTGACGAGAGCTGAATGAGTATTGTGTCGTTTGAAAAATATCAAGTTTTACCAGCTCTTAATTCTTCCACGGGATTTCTGCTCCATCACTGATTTTGGTGTATAATGTATTTAGTGTCCCCCCACATCCCCTGGCTAAACTTTCTGGAGGCGCCCCTGGGAGCGGGGTCAGGGAGGCTGGGGCTTAGCGGAGAGGAGAGGCGTGGGAGAGGGAGGACTCCTTCTCAGAAATGTGCCCAGGTTTTAATGTGAGAGAGGGACAGGAGGAAACAGGCAGGGATGGGAATGAGAGAAAGGAGGTGAGACATTGGGAAGGATCCGGACAGGAGGTGACCGCCCGGTGTTGGAGGGTGAAAGAGTGTGTGTGTGTGTGTGTGAGAGAGAGAGAAAGAGAGAGAGAGAGAGAGAGAGAGAGAGAAAGAGGGAGAGAGAGACTGTGTTGCGCTTGTGGCGGAGAGACCGCAGAGAGAAATCCACACAACTTCCAGCATCCTCCCTGCGCCGCCGCGCCGCGCTGCGCCCCGCCGCTGCCTCTGCCGCTACCGCGTCTCTCCCCCCACCCCCCAAGTCTCTTCTACCCGGACCCAGGCGGCTTGGCGCGGTGAGATGTGAAGAGGCTTGAAGTATGGCATGCGAGGATGCTGTTCGCAAAGAAGAAGGAGATGGTGACGGCGACGCGACGCGCGTTCATTCGGACCCTGGTCTACTTGTTCTGTTTGACGACTTGGTGAGTGCGGAGCCGGGAAAAAATAAATAAATTAATTAAAACTAACTAAATAAAAAAAAACCTGATTGATCGGAAAGTTCAGTTTTTATTTTTATTATTATTTTTTTTATATAGCCTATAGCTATTTTTTATTATTATTTTTTTTCTCGTAGTGCGAAAACAACCTCCGGACAAACCAGGAAGGATGAGAAGATTTACCCGGAGAATTTCACTCGGATTCTGGACCGACTTCTGGACGGCTACGACAACAGGCTGCGACCCGGATTCGGAGGTATTTAGAGGAGAAGCGCAATTTTTTTCTTTTTTGGGCGCACCGCAGAACAAGCGTCACGCAATTCACGACACTTTTGGCGTCACTTTGGAAATTATATTATCGGCTTCAATGGAAAGACTGAGAACGAAAATGGATGTTTTGCCAAAGAAACATTTTCTCTCTACTGAGGCGCAGTTTGAGTCCGAGAAGGTCAAAATTATTTTTCCAACATCCGGCTTCAGCTTTTCCTTCTTAACTTTAATTTTATTTTATTTTTTTACTGCATTAGAAAACAACCAAACAAACAAACAAAAAAAAGATTTTTTTTTTAATTTTTTTTTTGCGCAGGGCCGGCCCCAGGTTGTCCGCGGCCCTGAGCTCCGGCTCTGCCCTTCAGCTGTGCTTCATTCAGTTCGTTTCTGAGCTCAGAGCTCAGAATGACGTCACACCCGCGTCGAGAGCTGTCGTTGAGCGTCAGAAAACCCGACTGTCGAAGCGGCCAGTGAGAAAAAGATGGCGGAAAAAAGTTGAAGGAGTAAACAATTTGTTTTTCTGTAAATGAAAGGAAGCTCTGTCTGAGACACAAACAGTAGAACTTATTAAATTTAAATCTGACAGCTGGCATATTTTCAAATAAATGAAAAAAACCAGTTTTACTTTGTAGGCAAAAGGTCATGAGGATAAAATTTCAACTATAATACAAAAGGAAATACTGCGGCAACATCTTCTAAATATGAGGGAACACGTCAGACCTTGTTTCGACAAAGAAACAAAGAAGAAAAAAATAGAAAATTAGTTTTTCTCTTTTCAGCGTTGAGCAATTAATCAATTAATTGCATAACAGAAGAAAAGAGTTCAATAATTTTCATTTTTATCATTTGCTGTTCTTCACTTTTCTCTCTTTCTACCAAAAACCGGGAGACGAAAGTCTTCAGTCTGGTGCTTTGGTCTCAGTTTGCCGTTTAACTGAAGGACGGTTTGCAGAGACTTTCTAATAATGCATTTTATCTGTTGTTCTTGTTGGACATTTAAAATGTCCTCTAGTTCCAGTGTTACATGTTCTTTAGAAGTGAAAGCAGCTTATTGATCTTTGAGAATGTGTCCTGATAACATTATCCCATCGTATTACTTGAAAAAGTGGTCTCAAAAACAGTGATATTATCGGTTATCGCAATAACTTCTGGGAAGCAATACATCACCCACCTTTTCTGGAGGACTGGTAAAAAGAGAAATCTCTTCTCAACAGCGACACTCAAGCTGGTCATCGATGTAGAAACGCAACGCATGGCAGAAAACAGACTCTTGTCTGTTGTGAAACTTGGAAGCGGCAGCGATGTGCTTTTCTTTAGTCGAGACAGGAAAAGGTGATTAGAGGTGATGGGAAGGTGTTGGAGGCAGCATCAAAATAAGACTAGAGTCTAGCGGTGGGCATTTATCGTAGCGATTATCATTTGTTGTGATAAATTTCTTATCGCAACAAGTTTTTGATTTATTGGCGTCACAATAAATTCTAATTGATAATGTTTTAAAAAGACTAATAGCTGTACTATTTTAGAATCTAGAATCAACCAATTAGAACCAGGAGGCGGGACTTAGTGCTGTCAATCACCATCACAACCTCTCTCCTTTGCTCTCTGCTGCGGTGCAGCTATAATGGTTTGTCATGAATGCTAAGAACAGTTAGCACAGTCACCGGATAAGCAGTGAGCTGTTTCTCCGCCATTAGCGCATTTAGCAGCGCATTCATGGGGATGATTTGAGGCACTGAGATCCACTTCCTGGCACTGATTGGTTGTTTTTGGTTGGAGTGACGCATTTCAGACGACAATAACATTTCAGGAAGGATGTGGAGGAAAGCGATGTTTTCACTGATTTCCTGTCTCACAACACAGTGATAGTTTTATTAAAAGTTACGTACTGCAGTTTTAAAGACAGCCTAAGCAAACCTGCTTTACTTCCCAAATATTAACTGTTGAGAAACAAACAAACAAACATGAAACGCAGTAAGCAGGAAATCCAAAGAATTACAATCAGTTTATTCGATCTTAAGACGCTCATAGGCAGATGAAGCCTGAGGAAACCCTCCATTCAGGACAAATGTGTAACGCTCGGCCCAAGAGGTAAAAAGTATGGATCTTTTCATGTCTGCTGAATATTCATGCTGGGAAGCAGCGAGAACTGACTTACTGCGCAGAGCGGTCTGTCAACGGGAACGTCTGCATGCAGGCGCACGCTTCCAGCTCGTCTTCACACTGGGACTCCACATCCATTCAATGAAGGGGGGGGAAAAATCAAACAGGATTATTTTCTTTTCTTTCTTTCCTATTTTTATTTTTTTTTTTACATCTTCTAAGCTATTTTCTCCACTGCATTATGCAGAGTACGACACAGCTCCAGAAGAGATGAGCTACTGCAAGTCTCCTAGATTTTATTCTGAGGATCTGTAGACCTCAGACCAGCTTATAACACCTATTTGGATAAGATAACTTTCTGAGAAAATGTCAGTGAATGTGATTTGTGTGGTGTGTTTAATTGACCCGACAGGTCCTGTGACAGAGGTGAAGACCGACATTTATGTGACGAGTTTTGGGCCAGTCTCAGACGTTGAAATGGTACGTAGCCAAACTCTTGTCATGTTGAATTCTGTTCTTACTTTTACGCAACTTTTTGTGCTATCAGGTTGTGCTATTCAACATATATCACAAATTTACTGTCAGCGCAATATCACTGTACACAGTATGCATATGGTAAAGAAATGTAATTGGTTTGCTAATCAGCTCAGGTCTTTTGGTCAGCATTCAATCTCCCCAGTACTTAAGCACCTCAACCTCAGTCACTCCTCGCCTGTTCCTTTCGTCGACTCCTCATCTTCAATATATTATCACACATGACGTTTTCTTAACGCTGTGCAGCCGTAACACTGCATTATTTGGTCGTTCAGCCAAAACATTACTGCATTTGATATTTTGTCGAAAACAAAAGAATTCACACTGCTAACTGTTATCCAGATAAATCCATCCATGTTTTTCGTGACATGTCGGTTTTCCCTCCATCAGGAATACACTATGGATGTATTCTTCCGGCAGACCTGGGTCGATCGGAGATTGATGTACGAGGGTCCAGTGGAGATACTGAGACTTAACAACCTGATGGTGACCAAGGTCTGGACACCGGACACTTTCTTCAGGAACGGCAAGCGGTCAGTTGCCCACAACATGACCGCGCCCAACAAGCTCTTCCGCATCATGAAGAACGGCACCATCCTTTACACCATGAGGTAAAAAAAACCCCAACCTCTTAACTGTGCCTCCATCTTATCAACAGCCTGCTGCTTTGCATCTAATTTCATAACTTTCAAAAACGTTGGCTTGCGATTACGTTGCAGACACTTCACATATTGTAGATTTGCATATTTCTGTATTTTTTTCATCTTTTTTTTTATTGCTAGAAAAGGCGAGTTGACAGACTGTGTTTGCTATAAAGTAAGAAAAGGGATTCATTGTGGAATCCAACCAAGGTTCTCTGTAAACAGCAGAAAGCTGCTCAGAGGCGGTGCAGACGCCAAACGTTTGGCGCTGTCCAAAACGTCGCCTTTTTCAACTCAGAGCCACGTGGGCCAAAGTAGGAAACGAGCAAGCTAAAATCTTTCCCTGATTTGTGTACCCTTCAGCTGTCACAATGCAGACACTGTCAGAAACAAACAAACAAACAAAACTTTCCTCTACGATCAAAAGTGACTTACAGTATCCAGAGGATCTAAAAAGTTTCATTCAGGTGGTTAAATGTGATTAAATAATCTGTGTGTCAGGAAGGGTTTTGGTAGTTTGCTGCTCTGCAGGTGTTTAGTAAAGGAGCAATATGGTGTGAAATGAACTCTTTTGAGCTTAACGTCATGTTACAACGTTATTCCCCCATCGTAAGACGGCAGAGAGTGTCGCGTTGATTCTCTCATGCATGTTTGAGGAGGGTGGGAATCTCCCATACCAACCATTCTGGGGCGCCTAAATGGGTTTTCACAAAAACAACCCAAAACCAAAGCTATTCCTTCTAAAGGCGAACGATGGGGTGTAGTTTTTACTTTCATTGTATTGACAATAATAATAATAATGACAATAATTTTAAAAAAAGCTTTTTGATTAGCAGTGGCAAATACATTTACAATTTCAACCCATTCTGCTGTTAGATCCTGTCTTTTCTGCTGCAGACACAGCCATGTAAAATCCATCTTGGTCCTAGCTTTAACCGCTCCTCTGTGCGCCGCTTCAGGTTGACCATTAGCGCCGAGTGTCCCATGAAGCTGGTGGATTTCCCCATGGACGGACATGCCTGCCCCCTCAAGTTTGGAAGCTGTGAGTGCTTTGGTGCTTGTTTACCTGATGAAATGATGTGCAATGTGTCGTCCAAACGGCGAGAGGCAAACCCTGCCGTGGCAGCAGAGTACACCATGTTAACCTGCAGAATCACAACAAAAAGTCAGGCAAGCTAAAGATATTATTTAATGAGTGATTATATTTGACTGAGAACAATCGATGTGTTGGCCTGTCGTGATCAATTTTGCCGGTCAACAAACTGTCCCAGTATTTATTGCGATAAAGGATAATATTGTCGTCTTGAGGCTATTTTCAAGTATTGTGTTGGCAGTGGCATGATAACGGAGGTTCGCCCTCTCAAATGTCAATAAACTTTCATTTATTAAAAACACTTAACACACTTCAACTGGAAGGCTTTTTAATCATTCAAAAGTGAAACACGACAACCAAACAGACACAATAAGACGGAAATAAAAACCACTTCCAAACAAAAACCATACATGAAACAGAGTATGATGTCTCATTTTAACAAATATTTGCCATCAAAATGGAAATTATTGCGCTCATTTTAATATATCGTGCAATTATTCCATCAGTCGCCTATTGCGATGTGCTTACTGATGCATTTGCTGTGGACCAACTGAGGCAATGTGGCTGCCGTCTCTGCTGGCCTTTTCTGTTCAGTGTCTCCTGGTGTTCCTTCTCTGGAGACTCTGGGCTTTATATTAGAGGGGGGAAAAAATGGCAGCCACATGAGCAAAGGACATGTGGCAAGTGGGCTGGTGTCAGCCTGGGAGTGAGGTCCGGACTCAGGATAGTGCAACTCCTTTGTCAGCCGTCTTTAAGTTTGCTGCAAACAAAGTAAGGCAACTTCTGCAAATGTAGCACTATTTTCCAAACACCGAAGTCACAAAGTAGGATTATTATGTATGTAAAGAGGTTTATGTCATGTTATAAAGTCATTCCCTCATTAAACACGTCCCTGGGTTGTTGCTTCGATTCATTCATGCATGTTTGAGAAATCCTTGGGGAACGCCTTAGCGCTCGCTTTTCGGCTCAGCTAGCGGCAGCAGCAATTAGCAAGCACTGGTGGAACTGAGCGTCTGCTGAGCGCATTACACAAACTGCAGCTCGACTAAGATCGGTTCGTCGACGGCGTCAATGAACCCATAGAGAAGCATTGTTATGATAAAGTGCTGGCAAGGGTAGTGTGTTCTTAAAGAGACAGACGCCCAATTTCAAGTTGTCAGATGCAGCTATGATGCAAAGTCAAGTTTCGTTTAAATTGTTTTTGACAGAGAATTTTGTTAAGAGCTGAAGGTGACATAGTGTCCGGAAAATACACAATACCTCCCTTTAAGCTACGCATCGACAAATCCTGTGTTCATAGGCTGACGTTGAGAAACATGAGGACATTTTAGTGCCTTGGGATGGTATTTATGTCCCTCCAACGTCTTCACATTTTCTCACTTCACACTCACTAAAATGCAATGTATTTAGGGGTAATTTAAGTAACAATGCAGGGCAGGTGAAAACAAATGCTGCAGCATAATGTACATATAGACACATAAAGAGCTTGAGTTGAAGATCACCTTTCAGCCGGACTTCAACCCTGAACGGTCAGAGCTACGAGACGATTCGGATGTTCAAATGGAGGATTTTTGATTTTTATAGGGTTTATTGGCTCTGATGGCCTTTATTTGACAGTAAATTGACAGGAAAGTGGGTAGTGAGAGAAGAGGGAACACAGGTGCCAAAGGTCATCAGACCGGGAATCGAACCTCCGACGGCCACATCGAGGACTAAGGCTTCTTCCATATGTGGGTTGTACTCAACCCCTAAGCCACCACAGCATCCCAAATGAACTATTGTTTGAAATATTTTGAAAACCATGCATCATTTCCCTTCCAGTTTGCAATTATTAATTCTGTCTGTTGTAAAAATTAGGCTTGTAGCAATAAATCGGCCCATATTTCCTTGATTTTGGGAGATTGGTGATACTTGCGTGTAAAGCCGACCTTTTCGCTGATACCTCGGCAAACACTGTGCTTTTTTGCTCTGCTGTGAGCGAAAGTCTGACTGCAAGCATTACAGTTAAAAATTAGTTAATAATAGTCACCCCACAGTTGACAGCTCAGCATCTTTCTTGTTGCATGTCCCAATTGGTATTGGCCAAAATCGAGAGAGATCAGGCTTTTTAAACATCGGCTGGAAAACTGCAACTGGTGCACCCTGGATGGAAACATTGAAGTCTTTTGCTGTAAAAAACGTAGAAAAGTTCAAGTCGGGGAAAGTCGCGGGATTTCATTTCTTGGACTCTGTGCTGAAAAGGATTTGCTGAGCGCCGTAACCGCATGACGACATGTTTCGCTCTTTGTGGCGAAGCCCTAACTCAGCATCCGTGTTTACGCCGAGCCTCGTGGTCAGCAGAAACAACGGAGACAAAGACGCGCCGTGCGCGGAGCGGCTCCACCTTATCAGGCGAGTGCAGCGATTTGAAGATTACGAGAGAGAAAGGAGACGCATTTACACCCGCCGTCAATTACCCGTTGCGGTGACATTGCGGAGGACGTCCTCTCCTCTCCTCTCCTCTCCTCTCCTCTCCTCTCCTCTCCTCTCCTCTCCTCTCCTCTCCTCTCCTCTCCTCTCCTCTCCTCTCCTCTCCTCTCCTCTCCTCTCCTCTCCGTCCCGCTCATCCCGCTCTGCTGCCACCTGCCTCCGGTGAGGAGGAGGAAGCGACCGTGAATCTGCAGAGGCCCCTAGCAGAGGAAAGGTCAGAGTCCCTTCCTCCGCCTCGGGACGGCACAGACCTATGCAGCTATTTTCCATAGCCGCTGTGTGTGAGCTTATTTTCTCGCTGTCTGCCTCTCCTTCACTTTTTCCCTCCATCATCCAACATCTCTCTCTGTACCTCCACCCCCCCAACCCATCCCTCTCTCTTCCCCGTCTTCTTTTCTGCTTCTCCATCTGGGCTTGTGTGCACAGGCGCGGCGTTCCACTCCATGACACACCAGAGTCATTTCATTTGGCAGAACAGTTGGTGGCCCGCCGATGTGGGGTCCCACCGGGAGTGGCAGGCAAAGACAACTGCTCCTTGGCTGCGCGCGCACAGGCTGGTCAACCTCGCCCGTGTGCGAGCGAGAGAAAAAACAAGATGAGGACGAAGCAACAAGAGCAAATGAGAAAACCTCCGTATTCACACCGAGGCCGATGCATCCAAATGACTCAGAACAGCCTGAAGCCTCGACCCAACGCTCGTGTTTCTAGTGATTTTAGGGCGTCCGCGCAAACTTAGAACGTTTAAAATTCACATTAAGGCCTTAAAACGTCTTTACACTCATTTTAAAACGCAGCACATTAATCACAGGTATTGTTTTTGTCGTGGACAAACTAATCTCCAGTTTATTTTCCTCACAGGACTTTTCTTTCAGGCAAACGTTGGAGTCACACACAGACATCTTCACTGCCTCCTTTGACTCGAGGCAGATGACTCCACCACTAGCTAGCTGCTAATATACCCCTGCTAGCTAGGTTTTATGTGTCCGTCGTTGGAAGGTCGATAAGACCAGCACGTGGTCCTGTTGAGGTTTGTTCTCCCTGTCGCTTCAGCACCTCTTTTCCTTCCACTCGACTTTCCATTGTTATACTTGGACACAAGCAGCAGTTTCAGCAATAACCTTTCGTGGCTTCCCCTCTTTAAGGAGCGTTCCAGTGGAAAATAAATGCTTGGAAAACATTTTAGTTAATAATCGAGAAGGCCCTTAAATGGATGTTGCATAATTAATTTGAAGCTCGATAGGAAATATTGAAGATTACTTATAAGTGTACAGTACTAAATTAAACAACAACATATACAGTTGATGTCTAGTGCAAACAATTTGTTTGATATACAAGCAACTTCACCAATAGTCTATGCGTGTAGAAATCTGCATTTTCAGGCTCAGACTTGCTGAGATGAATTTGACTTTGTAAACTGGTGCTGGCAGGACCGGCTCACGGTCCGTGACACGCACAGAGTAGAACCGGTACCGACTGCACAGAGCTAATAGGGAGGGAGAACCAAATGTGGAAGTGAAAAGAGCTTGTGAGAATTTATTTTAGAGTCGCCGGTCAGGCGTCTCCTGCTCTGCAAAAACACAAAATCCTACCAAATGCTTCTGGTTTGGTTTGTAGAGCAAATCTCAGAAGACCAAACAAAATTATAAATGAGCTTGTTTCAATAGATCTTTAGTGTTGATGGAAAAAGTCCTAGTTCCATTGGCAGATGATGTCATAACATGGAAAAAAAACGCCATGTTCTCAGTAAAGTAATGTACCAGTGGAAACTGCACTTTTTCATCAATCTCAAGGATTTATTGACTCAGATCAAACTCCTACAACTTGCTGTCAAGTTAGTTCAGCCTTATTTCAAGTGTACTAAGATGCACCAGAAACTAGACCAAAAAAACATTTTGTGTGTTTGCAGGGTCCGACGCAGATTTAAACATTTCTATAAAATGCAGTCTACCAATTTCAATTTTGACTCATTAAGATTTTCCTTAAGGAGGATTACACACTTAAAAGAAATGTCCTCAGTTTCTTTGGGTTTTTTGTTTGTTTTGCTTTTTTATCACAGATGGCAGAACACACACAGGAAGAGCAAGCTCGGGTTTGGAAATGACAGAGAATGTTTGGAATTAAGGGGAAAAAAGCAGCATACGTTTAAATGTGACACTTGTAAAAAAAAAAGAAAAAAAAAACTCAGCATTAATCTGCTCCACTTCAAAACCAGCCTCGTGGATTATTTCAGCACAATCGCCTGTCGTCGTGGAAATATCGACTGTCTTGTTCATTTCTGCGTCAGCAGAAACATGCAGGGCTTTTTATTTTTTTTTCTTACTGTCGGATTGAGACGTAAATAAATACATACTTGGAGACACAGATTGCTTGAGATTTATAGCGGGTTCTTTGGATGGGACTCTGACACAGGGAGCACATGCAGATAAAATCAGAGTCTGGCTGGAAGTTTCTCTCGCTCTCTTTTTGTTAGTCCCACATCTCATTCGTTTCCCCCTGTCTGTCTTCAGACGCCTACCCCAAAACGGAGATGATCTACACTTGGACCAAAGGGCCCCAGCATTCGGTGGAGGTCCCTCCCGAGTCCTCCAGCCTCGTCCAGTATGATCTCATCGGCCAGACGGTTTCCAGCGAGACCATTAAATCAATCACAGGTGAGCCGCGGATGTCCTGTCAGCATCTGTATTTATTTATATTTGCCCCCAAGTCATTTTGCATGAAAAAATAAATAAATAAAAGAGTTTCGAAATGTGAGCGAAAAGCACACGGCGTTGGGCACGTATGTAAAGTTCTTGATGCGTCTCCGCCGGCGACATCGGAGGCATTTTTGGAGCCTTGACACTTGCACAAACGCGACAGTCTGTCAGCTGAAGCATGACTAGCACCCGGCAGCAGCCTCATGAAGTAAACATCACGGATTGAGTCACGTCACAGGCCAACTGCTTCACCCGAGAAACTGATGGATCCAGAAACAGATTCTCATTTATCTCAGTTATCTATTTGTTTTCCCGGGTTGTGTTTTTGCGGGACGGATGACGGGCCTTTCACTGATTGCACGCCGATTGTTTTTTCCTTTGATGCAGGTGAATATGTGGTGATGACGGTCTACTTCCACCTGAAGCGGAAGATGGGCTACTTCATGATTCAGACGTACATCCCCTGCATAATGACAGTGATCCTCTCTCAAGTGTCCTTCTGGATAAACAAGGAGTCGGTCCCGGCACGTACCGTTTTTGGTACGTAACGCGCCTTTTCACCACCGCTTTTATTGTCCTGCATAGGGGGAAAGTGCAGGTGTCGCATCAGCAACTGACGTAAAGTAAAAATAAATAAACAAATAACAACAAACTGCACGAGAGTGTAACCGGAAAATCCGTGCAGCTTTTAGAAATAGGCACATCGGACATTATATGTGAGTCGAACTCGTTTTTATTCCATCAATTTTGAAATTAATACACTTGGAAATGAGGCGTCGTAAAAATATTTTTTACGTTCTGCAGTGCCGGGAAGGCCCAGTTCAACTTTTACGAGACTTAGTACAAATGAATGAACTCATGTTCATCGTTCACCCGAAAAGCACTCAGAGGTAAATTCGCCTCTGCAGAACGAGGTAAAAAATTTATTTATACACAGCTCTGGAAAACAAAATGAAGAGCCCTGAACTCCACTGAAAACCTCCTGGTTATTCCGCTCAGTGTTGATTTCTGACCTCTGAGCTAAAACATTCGTGTTGCTGTTTCTAAATGAATCTGAATTTTGTTTCTTATTTGAGCTCTGACACCACTGCATCTTTTTCACTATTTTGGCCATTTCTCATTTTCTGCTGATGAATCCTAAAATTTGTGTCTGGGATTTCAGAGACATGCTGCTGGCAGTTCATAGAATAAAAGAGCAATGTTCATTTTACTCAAACATAAAACTATAAACGGTCAAATCTGATCATTTTGAATGCTCTCTTATTTTTCTCCAGAGCGGTATTTTTACACACCAGGTCACGACTTCCAAATTGACACTCCTGTGTTCCTTTCTGTTTTCTTCATTGGCGTAAGCGGCTCTCATATTCACATTTGTCAAGTCTTTGTTGTCAGAAAGCACGTTTTGCAGAGAGAGAGTGAGAGAAATGGGGGAAAGACGTCCAACAAGATTCTGAAGGTCTGGAGAATCGAACCTCAAACTGCTGCGTTGATAGTGTTTGCGTGTTTTCGTTTAAAGACAAGTTTGGTTGCAGATGATGTCTCATCCAACTTAAAGCGGCGGCAATTGTGATTCATCCGTAAAGCGTTTGGCTGTCGTCCAAGAAATGCACTCTAGGACTCAGCTTGAGGTCACTTTTCCCTTTGGAAACACTTACGCATCGCTGAAACCAATATACATTTAACACGCTTGTTTGCTGAGTAAAAAGATATTGCGTGACCCACAGTGGAAATGTGTCTTGGTTGATGCGTGGTTTAATAAAGCCCCGGGGGATTAGGGCCGCTCTCCTGCAGTCGTCAACATATGTGTCAGAGCCTCTGCTTCCTTCTCCTGAAGAGTTCGGCGTGGCGTGGCGTGGCGTGGCGTGGTGTGGCGTGGCGTCATCCGATGCTCAGAGGCGGCGGCCTGCTTGGAGGGGTTTAAGGGGGGTTCTGCTGTTGTTTTAGGTGTTTTTAACGTGTTTGTTTGGGATGAATGGGCGTCCGGCGTCCCGATCCGTCCCCGTCTGCCCTGCACCTGCAGCGTGTTTAACTCCCCGCCTCAGTGACCCATTTCCAGGATGGGGAAAGTTTCATCAAGAGGAGAAACGGGAGGGAGGCGGCGGCTCCTTGAGGTTTTCACGGTGTGTCACTTCATAACCACAAACCTCGATGCATCTTACTAGGATTTTGTGTGACAGACCGACATAAAGTTGCACATACCTGCAATGTGGAGGAAAACGCCGTTTCCGCAGGTGAAATACAAAGAGCGGCGTCCATCTTTAATCAGCCACCTTTAAACATCTAAACACTGAAAATATCTACTCACCTTTTTTCACAAAGTAATGACGAATCAGTGACTATATTAGTTGCCGACTATTTGAATAATCAATTCATCTCGATTAATCGTTCGGGTTATGTTCTTATCTGTCTTTTCTGACACAGATCGCGAGCCTTCTTGTTGTCAAGATGCATCTCTGTCTCCTTAGTCAAAGTGCAAACCCAACAAATGAACCTGAATCTCTTTTATGACGCATCGATGATCTACTGCAACCAGTCAAACCGGTTTGTTTATCTGAATGAAACCCTGTCGTTGATTTGTTTCGAGCGGCTTGTGTCCAATAAAAACAAGCTAAGCTAATTGCCATTTCTGGCAGTAAGTCCTGCACACTGAATTAATTACCCAAACGAAACTCCCCTTTCACAGCAAATGGGATCTTCCATTAGCGCTCTTACTTAACCAGTGGGTCTCCTTTTAAGTTTTCGAGCTCGCTGCAACATTTCGAGCTCATTTTCCCCGCATGTTCACTTTAGCTGCAGGTCAGCTGTCAATGTCAGCTGCAAGCTTTTGACTGACAGGTAATTATATGGCGGTCACGTCTGGGCAACAGACGCAGCGTAGGGACTTTCAAGAGCGCCGCGTTCCTGTTCTTGTTCCTGCGACCGAAGGGGATTTTCTCCAAATCACATTATTGCTGTTTGTTAATGATCCCAAGGACGAGCAAAGATCTACGCAGACGACCTTGTCTTTTCGTTCGGCGGGGCCTTTCTTCCCGGAGCTCTCTAACAAACCTCCATGGTGAGGCTTGGTCAGGGTGTCCTCTGGCTTTGCGATGGATAAACACCCCTTTACTTTTTACCTTTGCTTCCGCCGTGGGAGAGAGTCGCAGATAAAGACGATGAAGCAGAATAGAGGCAGTTTATTCAACTCCAAGCTGGTGGCGTTGGGTCTTTTGATGCAAGAATAGCATTTGGAGGCAGAGCTTGGATGCTAGCAGAAATAATCCTGGCTGATATGAGAGAGCCACAAAGCCTTTCATTTGTCACTCCTTTACTTTAACGATTATGGTATTTAGCCTCGTCGGCCACTGTTGACTCACCCAGAGAAGGAAATACATTTTGGATTTAGACGTATGATCCAGTTACTTAGCATGATAAAACCCGATTCTGATTAGCAGTGGCATCAAGTGACAATCTGGGATGTGAACTGAGGTTTCCAAACCGAGGAATTCGAGTTTGACAGACTCACCTCATTTCACTTTGAAGCTGAGAATTTAGACTGAATTTTCCAGCTGAGCGGTTCGGTCGTTGCCTGAAACGGAGGAGGTCAGGGGTCATGTTCAGGGTGGAGTGAGGGATGGATTCATGACTTGCAGACTCATCTGAAGTAATGTGGCATTGCTGAGGTGATGACATGTTTCTGCCAAATGATGAGGCAGAAACATGTCATCAGTAATCTGTGTATTAATGTGATTCTAGAGTGAAGCCTTTCAGTGGTCAAAATGACTGGAAAAGCGACATGTAAGTTCAGTCTATTTACCACTAGTCCATCCAGGACTAAACTATTAATCATGTTCCACTAATTATTAGAATAATTGTCAACTAATTTAGTAATTAATCAATTAAAATCCTAACATATTCAGCCAAACTCAGTTGGGCTAGTTTTAGCTTCACGTGGTTCATATTCATTAAAGGAATCTGACATTATTGCATTTCAGGCAATAGTGCAGCCTAAAATGCATTAATGTTTATTTTATTGTTTAACATTTTTATATAACCTCCCTAATTTTTTAAAGAGATAAAGTAGAAAAATCTGTATAATTTGTATTAATCGTCAGAACAATCAATGAAACAATCAATGGCTGAACTAATCGTTCATCAGCCCTTTACAAATAGCGCAGCTGTGACTGTTGTTGCATCTGGAACAGAGAAACCCGTCGTTCACGTTTCACGCAACGTGAGTGCTGACGTTTGTTTCCTCCGGTCACCGGTGACTGTCTTTATTGAGCGACGTCCGATTCTGTAGGCGTCTTCGTTTTGCCCTATTACATTGAAAAAAAACAAACAAAAAAAAAAAAGAAAAAAGTTCACTTTTGCTTTTGGAAGCAGAAAAGAGAGGCTCTGCCATGGTGGCCTGTCGCCAGGCGCAGGGCCGGACCTTCAGAGGTCAAACTGAGTCCACGTCTTGTTGAGTCAGAGCTGCTTTGGACTCAAAACGGGACCGAGTTTTCTGGTTTTGGCCAGCTTGACGGTGCTGGATGTGGACCTACTTTTATGTTGCTGCCATGCAAAGAGAGCAGGACCAAACGTGGAGAAACAACTTTCAGATTCTACGCTCTTCTGACCTGGAACAGACCTCCAGAAAAAACGGCAAAACTGCCGAAACACTGAGTTCCTTTCGATCCAGGCTAAAAACCCACCAGTGTGGCGCTGCTTTCGATTAATAGAGTCGAACAAATTTGAGGTGTATTTGGTTGACGATTCTGATGACTGCGTTTGACAAAATGTAATGTTTATTGCTTGTGTCATAATTATATTATGCTATTAAGATGTAAAGCACTCTGAACTACCTTGTTACTGAAATGAGCCACGAAGATAAACACGGAAAGGTATAAAAGAAATCTCAAACACTGCTGTTTCCATAGAAATAGTTATAGGAGCGTTTTCACATTAAACCAATGTTTGGGAGTGATGTGAAGGAACAAAAAAAAGCCTTTTGGTGTCCTACCATCACAAACGTATAGAGTTAGCCAAACTACTTGGACTGGAGCTGTGTGTGTTTTCAGTGACTGACCCTTTTGGGGGGTCTTGTGTAAAAGAGACGGATGATCTGTGACACTCTACGTCCTCGGAAACTTTTCAAAGTTCACAGTTTTGTGATGTCTTTGGTGTTATGATGAGCGTTTGGTGGACTGCAGCTGGTTTACCAGCTCTGTAGTAGAACACGAAAACAAACATGGTTGTCATGGAGTTTCAACAGAATAATGATAGTAAGCATATGTTCAGATACACAGAGAAATGGTTCACCAGACGTCCCTCCCCGCCCTCCTCCCCCCGCTTCCTCTCGCTGCGTCTAATTAAAGTTCAAATCTGTTTTAGGAATAATCCGAGATGAATTCAAGTCTTCACCATTTAAATATTGCCGTCACCTCATCCTCAAAAATGCTTAAATTACCCTTAATCTGCTGGAAGTGCACACAGGGTTCAGATCTGCTAACATTTAGCTCCCCGAAAAAAAAAAAGACCCTTCATGCTGAGAAAAGCACAACAGTCCCTTTCTGTACATGCTCCACATTGCATAGAGCAAAATGGTTCATTATCACTCCGCAGTCTGTTAATGAAAGATGCAGATGAGAGCAACATTACTGCGCACGCATGGGCTATTGAACACTGGTTGTTTTTGTTTTGTTTTTGGTTTTTTCAATTCCAATTTTTAATGTGTTATTTTGGAGGGGGGAGGAGGGGGGTCCCTTTGTAGGGAAGCTGCAGAGAGAACAGCACACACTGTGAAAGCATCGTGCTTCTTCATTAATTTAATTGGGTTCAGTGTGATTGTGTTTTTATGGATTTAGTGAAAACCTGATGTCTGAGGTTATAAATGTATTTAATCATATATATATTTATATATACAGCAATGTTCAAGCTAGAGCTTTATGACCAGTTATATAAAGATGATCTAAATTAGAAATTACATAAACTTGTAAAGTGTGAAGCATTTATAATTTGGAACCTACTCAATGTTTTTCTTTCAACAAAAATCCCCATCACCAATGTAGCAGTTTTTACTATGTTTACAGACTTTTCTTCCTTTTTAAAATCAGAATCGGTCAAAATTAGAATCGTCATACGTTTTAAAGACAACTGCAATCTGTGCATCCCTAGACTTCAGTTATGCTTTGCTAATTCTATGTACACATTATGTACTATTGTGGAGTTTTCATTACAATGTTTCTATATGGTTCCATAGCCCACCTTTGCCTTGAAATGCGACCTAAATGTAGGGCGATCCTCGGTTTCAATGATCTTGTTCGTTTTCTGTTCCAAATTTTCTACTAGTGTTGGAGTGAACAAAGTGAATTCACACACGCTTGTTTAGAAAAAGAAAATGCAAATATCCGTGTGACTCGACTAATTTTCTTTCCTCGTTTTATTTGTAAGGAATCACCACCGTCCTGACCATGACAACACTCAGCATCAGCGCCCGCCACTCTCTCCCCAAGGTCTCGTACGCAACCGCCATGGACTGGTTCATCGCCGTCTGCTTCGCCTTCGTCTTCTCTGCCCTCATCGAGTTCGCTGCCGTCAACTATTTCACCAACGCACAGATTGAGAGGGCCAAGAAGAAGCCGGGCAAGTGTCCCCCCGTGCCCCAAAGCACGCCTGTCAAGGTGAAGGACGCAGAGGAAGTGCAGCAGGTGAGGTGGCGTGTGTTTGTCTTTTTCTTATTTTCCCTCTGCACCTCTCAGGCCGGCTCAATAATTTGATCGCGTTTTTACCTCAGGGGGCTCTCGGGCAGCCTACCCCATCGCATGGGCTCTCCGTAGCTGGCATTTAGCCTGGACCCTCGAATGACGTGAAGAGAGGGTGCTTGAGAATAATTAGCTTTGCCCTTGTGTGCATAGAGGATTTTGCAGCTGAATCAATATCACGTCCTGATTCCAGGACGTGATATTCTCTGAATCTGCGCCTGCGCTCACACAGCAGGTTTTTTTTGCTTTTAGCCTGGTTGTTCATTCTGCTAATTCAATGCATGTAACCATTCGTCTGCAAAAACCGCCTGGTGGACCGAGCTCCGCCTTTGAGGTGAAGCTCCAGTTTCCCAGCTCTGTGAAGCTTTCATCTCACAGAGCAGACTTCTTCCATTCGGCTCCTTCAGACTAGCCAATAGCAATTGGCAAACACTGGGTGGAACTGAGAATCAGCTAATCTCATTGCAGGAGCTACTTCTCAGCGCAACGCTGGTAAAAACGTTAAAGGGTTAATAGAGGAGCCACGTTGTGATGACTTCCTGAAGGCGGAGTTTAAAAAAGAGCAGCAGCTTCTTAAAGAGACAGAGGTCCAATTTTGAGATGCTAATTTACAAATTTGAATTGTTTTAAGTCATATTTGACATATAGAGCATTTTTACTGAAGGCAACATAGTTTCTTGGTTGTGGTTTAAAAAGGCACAATGCGACTGGAGCACATATGATGCCGGCCCTTTAAGTTCAAGGGGTGGGATTATTTTTGCGAGGCAGAGTGCATGAGCAGCATAGGAGCTGACAAGTCAATCAGAACCAATGAGCAGGCCATGTGGCTACTGTAGCAATTTGACACATATTGAATGTGTTGAATACACACCACAAAGTTACTGCCAGATTCTGTGTGTTCTTAAAACCCAGTTTTTATAGTATACTCAGCTGTGGAGGCGAGAAGAAGGGCGCTCATTTCCCCGTGCATGTGTGCATGTGTGTGTGTGTGTAGTGTGTGAATCTCTCTGCAGCATCAACACTAAATATATAGATCTACTGTTAGCTGATCGGTGACGCTGACACGACCCGGCAGCGCGTACAGTACGCCTGCTCTACACTGAACACTTTAAGTTGCCCCCTCCGGTCCAGATCGCAGCGTGGCGTAATCGTGCCTGAATGCGGTACAGTGACAACGGCACTTCAGTGGATTAGCAGGTTGCCACGGCAACGGAGCCCTGGTACATCTGTATAGGTTTCAGGGAGCCGGGGCGGCGGGGCGGCGGGGCGGCGGGGGGTAGAGAGAGAATTAGTGCCGGTTTCCTCGACAGGGAGAGAGAGGAGAAGGCCCCGTTAGTCCGAGGCCCGGCACACGGGCCTGGGGGTCGTTGATGGGTTTAGGCTCTCAGGCTTCTGGCTTTTCCAAGCCAACACACACACAGGCGCGCAGCCATCCCCGGCCATGCTTTGGACAATATAATAATATCGGATCCTTTCAATTTTCAGAGTGGATAGTTGGGGTGGGGGGTTGGATTATTTCTACAAATGCCTCAGTACCGGCATCACTCTCTCCCCGCTTGGGAAAAAAAAAAACATCAACTCTCGAAGGATAAGCTCCTTTGATGCTACACTGCATTACCTCCCGGATGCAAGCGCTACTTACTTTCTGTCTTAAGCCTGTGTGAAATGAGTGAAATCCTCGTTAAGTGACATCTGTGATGCACACGCCCTTTCGTCCGCCATCTGTGTCAGAGGCGGAGCGGCGGTGGTGGTGGTGGGGGGTGGAGGGTGTAATCTGATCAATAGCACCAGGCTGATGTTTGCCTGATCCACTTTTCACTGAAACAATCCAGTCCGGTTAAGCATAAAGCGTCATATGCTCTAGAAACCATTCACTTTGTAGGTTCTTATTTATATAAAAATATTATTACGGTAGCTGTATGAGCGGGATGTACACAAAGACGTTAGTGGCACCCCAAGTGGAGCAATCGCATTATAGCGGTCAGTCAAAACCTATAATGTCACTTGACACAAAGAATAACAGATAAATTACCACTTGATGGAGTTTCCGATTGGGCTGAGAGTTGGTTCCCTGTGCTGTAGACACCTGCCAAGGACCGGAGCCAAAAGGTCAGAGGTTGCACTAAGTGTGAAAGCCTGTTGAGGTGCGTTTCAGAGCATGCCTCGGCATTTCCAAGGTGTTTTGGGTGGAGTTAAGTGTGACTTTGGTTAGCCAAGGCCAAGTGAGTTAAGGCTTATGCATTGTGCAAAGAGTAAACAATGGAGAAAGAAACAACGTTGTGTGACAGGATTACAAGAGTTCTCATGTTTTATATTTTTGGGGTGTTTTGGAACAATGAAAAGATATTATGTGTCTCTTAAGAGTGTTTTTAGCTCATGAATTAGCCTCCACGTAAAGTAAGAACATATTGAAAATGCCCCATTGACAAGACTTTCTCTCATCCTTCACAGCAAGTTCCTGACACCAACGGCTCCCTGAGGAAGCGCATGAATTATGTCTCACACCAAGACCCAGCGGGCCAGCCGAGAGCCCAGTCCACCACCAACATCTCAGGACTGGGAAGAGGAAGGCAGCTGAGAGCGCTGGCTGGCGGCGCCAACGGCAGCTCCTCGACCCTCTCCCGCTCCAGCCCCAAGTCCGAGAGCCTGCTGAGCGTGGCCTCGTCCTCAGCACAGCTGGTGAAGGGCACGCCTCAGCCCGCGGCGTCCACCCCAGACGTGATGGCGGGGACGCCGGGCCGGTGTCCCGCCGGCCCGGCGTCTCTGCAGCACCTGCTCGGGCCCAAGCTGGAGCGCATCCAGATGATGGGCAACAAGCCGGAGCAGAAGCAGACGCCGTGCTCCCAGCCGACCACCGCCGGCATGGGCGGAACCAGCAAAATTGACAAATACGCCCGGATCCTGTTCCCGGTGTCCTTTGGGGCGTTCAACATGGTCTACTGGGTGGTCTACCTGTCGAAAGACACAGTGGTGGCCAAAGGGGGATAAATCTCACTCTGGCTGTGAGGTTCATTGTGATTTCCTCTAGCGTGGATACAACAACAACACGCTGCTGGTTCTTACCAGACAGTTCAGTGTGCTCATCCGTCAACAAGGGATCCTGGAGAACGCGTTTGCCAGGCATTTGCTGAAGGACCACAAGCATGGAAACAAATCGTTATAATTAGGACAAACTGACTCGGCTTAGGAAAGAACATGCGCACACTGGATTACTCCACCGTCCTCTTTCTATTTCACATTGCCTCGTCCGATTGTAAAGGTCTCCAACTGCCCGGTGATCCATGCGGCCTGGAGGAAGACTGGGGATTTGTCATTTTCCTATTTTTGTACCCTGTACCTTTCGGGATGCTTGGATATGTCATCAATCGGAACTGAACCTCGCCCGCAATGTAAAATATATACATATATAAATATTTATTTATTAGGCTAAACAGATTTATATTTAATGTACAAACCTGATGCACTGTTGTGCCAGTAGATTTAAGGATTAAATCGATCGGAGAGCACAAAGTGATCTGCGTTGGTCTTAAATGCTCCCTGGGAAAACGGGTGTCAAGCTGAAGAGAAGAAATTTGATGAGAAAGTCCTCAGAACCGAGGCTTAGAGGAGCGCCGGTCACAAGTGGATGAGCGGCGAAAGCTTCTTGCGCCCAACCTCCGTGTGGAGTATCTGCATTGCACAAGATGGATTAAGCAATACGGAGAGAGAGAAACAAAAAAAAAAAAACAAGATGAAATGTGGGGATAAATCAGGAAGGAAGCGGAGGAGACGTGCTTACAGTAGGAGGGTTTAAGCTTCTTCACTGTCTGGCCAAGATTCATACTTTGATTACGTAAAATGTGTTTTTTTTTTTTTTTAAATTCACATGACCAAACAAAAACAAAGAGAATGGAAAGACATTTACTAGCAGATCATAGTGTGAGGGGAAAAGTAAGCTTTGCCGGAAACCATCTGCTGTGCGACACAGAAAGGTTCTGAGACACAGTAACGGTGTTAGTGAACCCGCTCAAGGGCGTCGTCAACCCAGACACCTGGATGGGGTTTCATCCTGTCTCAGGCAGCCAGATGTTACCTTATTATCAGTGCAGCTGTTGGTCACTTAGATGGCTGCGCTTCATTTTCCTGCAGCTCGTACAGTTAGGATAATTTGGTTTCTTCAAGGTGAGGTTTTGCGTGAATTGTGTCAGCAGAGATGGTTCCCTTGCAACTCGCGGTAGATGTTGCGCTGCTGGAAGAAATCCTGAGAGGAGCGGAAGGTCAAATTCCGACTTGGACGTTTGGAAACCGGAGTGAGTTTCATATCCAATGCGGCCGCAGACCACATAAAGTCGAGTCTGTACGTCTGTAATCTTTCGCCTAATCCGGGATTGAGTCAGCAGGCTAAACAGATGACTCCAGTGTTTTTGGTCTAGTTTCTAGTGCAGATATTGTAGTACTTGAAATAAGACAAAACTAACTACTGAGGTATTTGCACTAGAAACTAGACAAAAATTAAATAAATACTTGGTGAGACATAGGATAAGCAGGAATCACAAAAATGATCGCAGCGCCTTTAATTCTCACCAGATTTCTATAAACATGGTTTAAATTGAAGCTGAGAAAATTGCTGATGTTTGTAAGTTTTCTAGCTTGATATAAGTCTATGAACAGTTTAGTTTCTATCGAGATGCAAGAGAGGACAAAGCAAATCCCTCCATCCCATTTGATGATTAAATGTTCAAACAAACGAGGAAATTAGTTCAGTTTTTGTCATTTATTAAAGGTTTAGAAATTACAGCAGCTGCAGGGCGCCACAGCGATGGGACAGTGAGCTGATACAAAGTTGTAAAACATCTTCAAACTATTTATATTATGTTTCTCCTTGCTTAGTGTCGGCATGCAAACCCGTTGATATGGTCCAGAGCAGAGAGTAACATACTGACCAGAATGTCCTGCTCTGTAGTTCACTTCCTGCTTTTGAAACGGTCTCTGGTCAGGCTGCATCCGTTTTAGAGTCCACTTCAACCGGACCGAGACCGAGGTTTTTAGGCGGATGCTCCGGAACTCAAGCTTGCATTCAGACCTCCCCAAAAACTCTGGACTTTCGAGACAAACGGATCAGAGTCTGATTCAGGAATCTAATCCTGGTTTGGTCTGCATGCACCCTTGGTGTGTTTTTATTTTCAGGGCTCTGTTCGCCGCAGACTGCGTCACAACAAGTGATGACGACTCCAGCGAACCTCTATCCCTTCACCGTCGCTTGACACGTTTCTTAAACATCTCCGCGACGAACGAGGCCACGTTTATTAACTGTTTGACTTCGACTAACACTTGAGCACTCAGTGACCCAGATTGCCATGCTCATTTAAAATGAGCAATGCAAAAATAGATCCCTCGTTTAGGTGAAATGGGCAACGCGGCGCTCAGATGTCGCCTTCACTAAACACGGAAGAAAGTCGAGCAAATGATTTCCTCTCAGGTGTGGAAGAGGTTCTGGGCCGGTGTGAGATTCTCACGCGGTGTGTCAGCTTTCATCAGAAGCACAATGCATGCAAAAACACTTGCGGGAAATGTTTGGATGTCTCACTTTTCTGTCTCAACTGGTTCGCGGTCTGCACTGCAAAAACACAACACCTTAAAAAGCAGATTTTGGTTCCCAGTGCAAACGACTTTACAGAAGGCAAAACGTCTTTACAAGTAACTTTTCAGCAAGAAATGGGAGTTAGTTTTAACTGAGTAATTTATCAATATTGATGAAAACATATTGGTTATAAGTGAAATAACCTGCCCTGCAGCTTAACGACATAAAAAGGGTTTTTCCACTGACAGACTATTTCAATTATAATTAGTACCGTTTCATCAATATTAAGCTCCCACATGTTGCTGGAAAGTGGCTTGTAAGTTAGTTTGTCTTTTGGGTTTTTGCAGTCTGCCTGCAGCACACGCCTGCAATGTTGTGGAAAATCTTCTGCTGTATTAAATCGGACCAGCAAAGGAGGTTGCTATTTCCTCCTTTGCTGAAATTATTTCAGCTTTAAAACAGTAGCGTTTTTTTTGTGTTTTTTTTTTTTCATGTGACCTCCTCTTTTAGTTTCAACACTATGACTATGCCAATGAGAAAAATTGTAATCAGTGGACTTCCAACCCTATGGAGGGTACAGATGGAAAATGTGTGTTTTAAAACCTTTGCATACCCTGGTAGGGAAGTGGATCTGTGCCACCTGTGGCTATTAATAGCTAAAACTCCACTTTTCTCACTTTATTCATAAATCTGCACATGTGGAAATAAGATAGTGAATGTAATGTCTTCATCAAATGTCCACGCTTTAACCCAGGACTGGACAATAAGTCAGTAACCATAAAAAAATATTGCAACAGACACATGATCAACATCAATACTGCGTGTTTCAGTAAACACATTAAACCCTGATCATAGGCGGCGCAAGACAGGAGAGGGAATGGAGAAGAAGAAGAAAAAGACCTTGAGGAAGACGCTGTTTGTGGACTGTACAACTATTGCTCTGGTTAAATAAAGACCGTTCAACAGTTATTCCCTTTTTCCTTTGACTGTACCATAGAGTACTCAGAAATTTCACTGGACTTCTATCCAGAACCGCACAGCATTCTGGGGGATGTTGGCAAAAGGAGGAAAGTCTTAGGGCTAGCTCAGCGCTGTTGGTGGCGTCAACTCACTCACTCGCTCTTTAGTTACCTAGAAACAACTTGTTGAGTAACTTGCAGCAGCAGTTTCATTTTTCGTCACTGTGCCTCATAGCTGCTTAAAAATCAACGCGTTGTGAAAACTGGATGAAACAGTTAAGACCACAGCATCAGTTTGGCAGTATTTCAGATATTTAACTAAATAAAAGAAAAATCAACAATTATTGATATTCACTGATATGAAACGCTTGTTTCGTGACACGTTTTTCGACCATAACATCCAGCCATACTGTAAACCCAACACCAGGGAAATAGATCTACCTCAGTGTTCACATTCATGTCCGAGTCAGACAGGAAACTGAAGTATGTTATTAAATCCAGTGGCTCTTCAAGGAAACCTGATAGAATCTCAAAAGCTCGAGTCCGTTGGCAGTAATTTGATTCTTGTGTGGCCAAAGGACACACACCATTATCCTGATAGCAGTAGGCAACATGACGATGGTAAATTGTCCTCCCTGGTCTTCTATTGCTGCAATAGGCTGGTGGAGGTGAAGTAGAGAAGTCATTGAGCAGCCTATAAAAATGGACTGTAGTGTGTTGCTGTAAGTGCTCAAGAAAACATAGTTGAGAAACCACAACAAGAGAAAATGATGGGAGTTGGCAGTTATCTCTGCTTATGGCCATGTATGGCATAAAACCTTCCATTTTGGGCCAGTGACTAACCAAAATGAGGTGGTACCAGTTGTTTCACTGAACAGTTGGCAGATGAACACGTCTGCTGACGGACATGTCACATGGACGGGGACTCATGGTACAATTTGTACCTCGTTCCTGCCTCTGATAATCGTCCATGTGTGGTCGTTGCTCCTCATCGATTGGTTGCTCCAACAGGAGGTTGATGAGAAGTACAGATCAAGAACCTCCACACACTACTCCACTCTCTGCAGTTGACCATGTGTGAAATTGATTTTGGCATCATTAGCTCTCCATTGATCTCTGGGTTTTTTTTCTGTATTTGTCTCTGATAGGGTAAAAAAAAAAGCGTATCCCATTCAGAAAACACAAGACATCCAGGGGACGAATGAGGACCGTGTCAGCAAGAGATTGATATTTGCTGCCCCAACCATAACCCTGTATTCCCTGATTTCACTGAGCATGAGCCTGATTGATTGGAGCTGCCAACATAAGGTTGTGGGGTTTTTTTTGTTTTCTTTCTCTTTCTATATAAACAGATTAAAGATGCTCACTTTGACATTTTGATCGGAGGATCGGCATACAACGTCGCTACAAGAATAACTTTTTATTTATTTCAAAGAAAATTTGATGCGCCGACTGTCAAACAGTTTGCCTTTGAGTGGGTCCCTGATGGAAGTTGTACACGGCACTCAGGAGGCAAAACATGGCTTCACACGCCCTCTAGTGGTTCAGTTCACCACTAGATTTGCTTGGCATTTACCCATGCAAGGCAAATAAGGAATTTCATTTACTTTTACGTTTGGTTCTAGTGACATACAGTGTTGTGAAAAAATATTTGCACCCTTCCAAATGTCTATTTTTTTAAAAGGTAATTTTATTGTTTGCTTTTATGGCACATGTAAATGTTTCACATCATTAATCAAATGCCATCATTGGAGAAAAGATAACCTCAGTGAGTACAAAATTTATTTTTTTAATGACAACTGCATTCAAATGAGGGAGTTATCCAAATCAACCTGACATCATGTGGAAAAACAATTCCTCTCATCCTACCTCGTCATGGTAGTTTGGCTCAACCATGTCTTTTGAATAATTGGGTTTAATGTCGATCTGTATCCAGGCCTGATTACGCGAGAAGTCTGACAGAACTTGACTGGCAACATGAGATAGGCTGTAAGATCTCAAAAAGCAACACCCACCTTGCTCTACTAAAAACATGAAATACCAAATAGATTAAGCACAGAGTCACTTATATTCACCACTTGATATATTCACAAGGTCATTTGGTCAGTGTTCATGATTCAGCATTAAAAGAGAGGCAACCTACCATAAGGGAGTTTCAAGGTCAAAACCACTGATGACCAAGAAGTCAAAGGGTGTGGGGAACCAGGTCCTTTTCTCTGTACTTTTAACAAATCCACTTGGAGCACGTTCATATTTTTGAAGGCCTGTGCCTCGCCCCTCCTTCGGTATCACAAGGGATGAACTTCGGCCCCCCCGGTGACCATTTACAGGATGAAATGGACTTTGCCTTTGGACGAATTGAAGGCCGGGATGCAATTTGTGAGGTCATGTTTTCGCATTGTGGGAATTAAACGTCAATGAAACTGCTGTTGTTGGCCGTTTTCGTCTAAATCAAGCTTTGAACCTTAAAAGGTGTGGAGCATTGCCTGTAATCCAAAGAGCAGGAGTCTCACCCAATTTATTTTCATTTCGTTTAGAGATGAGCAGCGTTATTTTTCTTTCTCTTTTTTTTTTAAAGTAGTTCCTGACTGTGGAGACGTGAAGCGGAGTGCAGTGTCTGAAATGAGCCACTAGAGGGTGCTGCAGCTGTCTTTTTCAGACTTCAGGCGTTCGGATTGTTTCGCTTTAAAGGGTTCAGATTTTTCTACACTACACCTAAACAAATTAGTTTTTCTGTCTTCATAGAAAGTCATTCTGAAATATTTTGCTTATTTTATTTCTCTTTCAAATCCAGTCATAATTGTACCTGCATTCTGCCTGCTGAATGGAATATCCAGCTCGTTGTGTTGGTTTACTTTTCACCCTTATCATTTAAGATTTAACAAAATGAAATACAACAAGGATCTTGCAATATTTAAGATGCTAACTGGTGAACCTTGTGCTCACATTATAATGTTACTCATAGATTTGGGAGAGATAAAAAACAACAACTGTCCAATCATTGATTAGATTGAACAGATTGAGGCAAATAACAAAGTTCTTGGTTGCTTTAATCAAAATCTTGTGTTTCTTAAAATGTTTTTGGTTCTCCGTTTAGAAGTTTCAATTTGTAGTAAAAATCCTTTTTTGCTGGACCATCTCATCCTTTTGGTTTCATCTGTGCGTTTAGTTTTTGTTGGTTTCCAGGCCTTTTCCCGTTTGCTTTGTAGATCCTTTGACTCAGCTCCCTCTGCGGTAATTAGTCTCCCTCCCTCAGTTTCCCAGCTTTCACCCTGCCGCAGCTGTTCCAAATCTCCTTTGATTAGTACATCTGATTGTCGTTTTCCAAGCCTGTCTCAGTACTCAAGCTCCTGGTGTTTCATTGTTATTTGCTTGATTCTTGATTCTGGAAAGCTTGTAGCTGGAAAAATAAACAGAAACACAACTTAAGAGAAAATCAGCAGGTTTCTCACTGACCCAGAATCCAATATGGCTGTGAATCCTCGTTTAGTTACCGTGTTGATGTTTTGTGCAAATTGGAGAGAAATAAATGATTAGCTCATGTTGCTAACAGCGTTTAGCTTAGTCAGTGAGTGCATCAGTAAGAAAATCCAAATCATTTATTTTTGTTTTTCAAACTTGGTTCTGTAACACGCTGAAGTTTGGTTTTGAAGTCATCCCCGATCCAAGTTTTGACATAAGGCATCAATAGCTGCGCTTCCGTTACAAATTTACCTAAAAACATTGTTTATTTTCTGTTGATGTTGGAGAAACACAATCTGGTAATTGCAGTGCTTCCATTGAAGGAGAAACGCCGGCGTCCTCTCACCACTTCCTGTCGTCTTCTTCATCGTTTCCAGCAGTAGTAACATTTTTTGCTCACGTGACTCGTGTGATGTGAAAAAAAGTGTCGCCATCGCACTTTTATGGAACGCACTCATGAAAAACCACCTCGTCATAGCACAAAAACGTAAAAAGAAATAAATAAATTAAAAAATTAGGGCGTTTCCTTTACGCAAATTTATTTTCATAATTCCAATAAGTGCTGTTATATAGTACGGAATAGTATGGAAACGTAGCTAGTGAAACGCCTGGAAAGTGTTTTTACTTACCAAACAATTTAGATATCACCAGTGACGATTGCTTATAAGACATAAATTTCATACACTTTTTATTTATTTATGTTTTTTTACATGAACACCTATCTGTGGTCATGTGTCACAAATAGGAATCATCTTCTCCCCCAAGAGAAGATGATTCCTGCTGAAATTCTCTTCTTTCCCACTGGTAAATGTTTGCGCTGACGCATGATTTCTAAAGGTTTCTGGGGGTCACGACGAAACCTCTCGCTTCTAACAACAATGACTGTAGGAGCACCCAGCAGTTTTTATCTTCACTGCATCAGACGAAACCAAAAATACAGAGCAATAAGGAGAAGAAAAAAAAGAAGCATCAACACGTTAAATTCAGATCTCAGCTGAATTTTGTAATAAAAACCAGTGCAGCACCAAAGGACTCATCTCCCCAAGACTCATTTATTAAAGCGCCGTTTAACATCTCCTGCACTCATCTTTAGAAACTGAGACCCCAGAGATGCACATGTGATTTTAAAATTGTATGTAAAATGTTGCTTTGCTTTTTGTTGTTTTTCAGCAAAGTGAAATGGATTTGTATATTGTGTGATTAGTCTTGATATTATGCGACAACACTCTGCAGCACTGTACAGAAGTGATTTCCGACAGGCACAACGAGGGACAAAGTATTTTTTTGAACTGTCTTATTTATTAGTCCCAATCTCTAGTTTGGAGGAAACGTCATTAAACATGTTTGATGAACGCAATGTTGTTTTGTTTTCATGGCCAAGAGGAAAAATGTTCAACAAAGTTACATCCCTTTTGTAAAAAAATACATAAAAAATAAATAACTCAATACTATTTGTGGCCGCATCACCTATCAGTGCAGTTCTAGGGCCAAGTCTTTTACAACAAGTCTTAAAAGTAAATAATAACGCTGTGTAACAACAGCAACATAATGGCTCAAGAGACTTTCTCATATTTAGTGCAAACCATTTCCTCATGTAGAAGTTTGAATCGTTTAATGCTCGGTCATTCTTTCACATTCAAAAGCAGCTCTATGGGTTGCTTTGAACATATTCCACTTTAATGAGATTTTAATTTGTGACCGGGCGGCCTCCTCTGGACCTCCCTGGTTCGGACCAGTTTGTTTCAAAGGGCTAAAGTACGTAGAATGACTCAATGCAGCTCTGTGAAGGAAAACGCATGAAATCTGATGAAGTAACTTTTATGTCTGGACGCCACAGTCCTACAAACCACTTCAGATGTTGAGAGCCGATCAGGTCAGAACGAACATCCAGATGGTGTCGATTTGGCACAAATAAAACAAGTTCGCTTTCTGATTCCCATATACTGAAATATAAAACACTCGCATAAGTTTATTGTAACATTTTCTTGCCAACTATATCCAGTACCACTATATCCAATAGTGACAAAGTCTGGTTATCTACACCAAAAGAACAATTAGCTGAAAAATTCCTAAAGTCTGCACCCACCAATGTTTTGCAACTTTCCCAGTTTGATTATTGCCAATGGAAAGTGATGTTTCCATACAATTGCTGTCCCGAAATACAGAGAAAGCTTACAGAGTCAAACAAAATCTGTCTCCGGTTGCCTCCTATGTAGCAATGTGAGATGTTTTTATGTGACAGCTGAGGCCAGGTGTGACGGCCCACGCGTTAGCTCTCTGCCGTGTCTTCACGTGAGCGCGGCGGTTAAATTTAGCCGCGGATAAAAGGAGAGTTATTGTGGGAACTCTGGAGCTGAAGATGCAGACGGATTGGCAGAACACACGGAGGACGGAGGATTCGCTCTGGGCTTGGTTTCCATGGCAAACCGAGGAAATTAGCAACAGCAGCTGAAGCTGCTGCGTGAAAAACGCGGCGTGCGTTTCAGAAAGTGACATTGAATGAAGACCAGTGAGAAAGAAAAAGGATGGTGTGCTTTGGGGATGATTTGTGTAGGTGAGCTCATCTGGCATCCGACATTGACTTTCACTTGTCTCTGTTTGCAGCGCCGCTGATCCTGTCTGATCACAGACTGCTTTTCATTTCTACACATTCTGCTGACTCGTGTTGACAGAGCTGGTTGAGGTTGTGGTCTGTGGTTTATACCCCAGATAACTTTTTTTTTTTTTTTGTAGGAAGACAGACATGACAAGAAATATATGTGAAATTGACCATATTTACAACAGAGTCAACTGCAAAAATTCAGTAGTAGTCCCCTGAGTGCTGCGACAGACTGGCGACCCTAACAGGGTGACCCCGCTTCTCGCCCGAAACGTTAGCTCTAGAGGCACCAGCACCTCCTGACCCCTCTAGGGACAAGGCTGTTAGAAAATGGATGGACGGACGGACGGATGGATGGATGTTTAAACTATAGGACTGTTTTGAAAGCTGGGAAATGTTACAAAGAATTTTGATTTTTTTCTAAGAATTTTGACTTTTTCCTCCAGAATTCTGATTCCATTTTTGAATTCTAATTTTAGTGTCGAAATTCAGACTTTTCAGAAAATTCAACTTTCAATCTCAAAATTCTGACTTTTTTTCTCAGAATTCTTTGGGGTTTTAAAAAAAAATTTCCCCTTAGAATTCTGACTTTATTCTCTGAATCCTGATTTCAGTGTCAAAATCCAAATTTTCATCTGAGAATTCTGACGTTGGTCTTTCCAGTGGCCGTAATCCTCTTCCGGAGAAGCTGAATGTTGATGAAAGCCAAACATTTCAGATTTTAATTTATAAGAAAATCTTTGAAACTACTGAATCCTCTCCTTTTACCTCAGAACAAATTTCAACTTTGTGTTGAGCTGCCATATAAAAACTCTCACAAAGGCACAGTGCACTGCCAAGGAGAACATTCCTTTATTTCTCTCCATTTACTCTCTGAATTTAAAACGTTTCTCTTTTAAATTCCACCAAACCCTGTGTGGATCAGTCACTGGAGAACAAATTGATTTGAGCGCCGGACTTTGTGCAAATCGCTGTGCACAAAGCGATTTGTGGGGACCTATTGCTTTAAGAGTGTCACAGCCCCTCGGTGGGCTCCTCATATTTCTTCTCTCACAACATCTTTCTTCTGTCGGGGCATGGTTTGTTGCCGAGGTAACGGGCTCAGTCTTTTTCAGCACCGTCTCGTGAATCAAGCCATGCTGACGTGCAGGTTGACACCCCTCTGCTTTGACATGGTGCATGACAGACAAGGGAGGGACGCGAGTTCTTCCTGAAATGTCTCCATGACAGATCAACCACCTGGTGCTGTGAAATGCTGCTTTATCAGAACCACTTGAACGCTGACGCACTAGGTCTCACTGCTTTGCAGGAACAATCAAGCTGCTGTGAGCAGCGGATCAGAAAGCCGGCGTTGGCTGCAGAGATCTCCTTTCGAGCCTCAACAACCACTTGTTTCATCTCTCTCCAAGTCTGTGTGACGCGCTGCCATGTTTGTCCGACAGAGGACGCTGTGTGCGAGTATCTACAGTGAGTCGTGTCTCACCACATGGGCTTTCAGCATGCTGACCTCTGCTTTAAAGGGCCAGTATAATCCACAGAGTGACACTGTGTAGCGCAATCATATCACTATGTGATATGATTTTTGTTATAAAAATGCTACATATATGAAATATGATTAAAAAGACGTTTGACTTTTTGATTGAACTCCTTGAAATTGGGCCTCTGTCTCTTTAAGAAGCTCCTAGTTTTTCTGAATCTTCGCCTTCAGGAAGTCATCATCACAACATGGCTCCTCTATGAACCCTTTAAGAAAGTTTTTCCAGCGTTTTACTGAGAAGTATTTCTTATTCTGAGCTCAGCCGATGCTTCGTTCCACCAGATATTTGCTGATTGCTGCTGGCTAGTCTGTAGGAGCTGAGGAGGGCTGCTCTGTGAAGCTTGGAAACTGCAGCTCCAAGGAGGAGCTTTGTCCTGTAAGGTGGAGTTAGGATCGCCCAGGCGTTTTGGACCGCTGAATGGTTCCCATGGAGATTAAAGGATTTTTAAAGTGAATTAAATAATCAAAGCAAAACTCCAGGCATGTTTTTGATGAGGGCAAAACCTTAAAACATGACGTGAAGCTCAAAAAGTACTGCTCCTTTACAGCTCAGCTCATCGTAAACGAGCACCTTTGGGTAAATAAATATTTTTACATCACGACAAAACCGGTTTAATCAACAATCCAACCGATAGAGGCAGTGCACCTTCGTCTCTATCATCTCTATCGTCTCTATCGTCTCTGTGTGTTGCTGTTTTCGATGACGACATTATTAAGCTGCTCTTTTCCCCGACTCCACAGCTCAGCACTCAAATTTTTCCCTGGCTCAGCTTAAATTTTATTGCTCTCTGCCAGGAATCCTTCCTGTTTACTGGTTCCCAGTCCATTAAATCAGAGCCAGGGAAGGGAGAGGTAATGAACTTCGTCAATGCCAGTAATCAAACTGATTTCCACATCGTACTCTTACTCATATAAAGTCTGACACTAAATCCAAGGTACAAAAATACAGAAATGTGAAAATCACAAATTCAGATGTGCAGCTTATTTGCCTGTTGCTCTCAACTGATCCGATCAGGAAACGTCCCCAGTTAAAGAGATGCACAACACAACGTCTTGCTACCAGCAGCGCCGGCGTAACCCAAAGGGCAATGAGGTCGCATGCAGATGCATTTTAATAAGATTCCTGCCTTGCTTTTGACAAGCTGCCTGAGTGCCTCTGTTACTGAGATGACCTGCATCACTCACCGCTTGACACACAGGTGTGGATTTATGCTAGAGAGATTCAGGGAGCAACCTTCTCGCTGACGGATGGCAAAAGGGAGGCAGTAACTCTTGACTGGCGGTCTGTTCTCATCTCATGCCTCACACCGACAGGTTCCTGCAGGGCAAATCTCGGCTGGAGTCTTTCAATCTGGTTGCGTGTTCGGCCCGCGGTACTCTGGCTTCCTCAAAGAGTCCAAAAACATGCATGATAGGGTCATTGGAGGTCATGAGTTATCCTTACTTGGTTGGCAGTAATTGCCTGATACAAAAGTAAGGCGGTAATAAGAGCATAAATGTAGACAACACACCAAATTAGGCAAAAAGAAATGCCTGTTTTTCCCCGGAAAAGATTATGCTGCATTTCGAAAACGTATCAAGCAGCTGTTTCGATACTGTTTTCAACACAGCCGGCTTTTTCTGACATATTGAAACACATCTTTCAAATCGCACAAGTCATGTGATCAACAGCCTGGTACTCTGCTCTCAGTTCTAAAATGACAAAGTTACAATATTATATGTCAAACCGATCAGTATATCACAGAAACAGCTGGTGTAATCTGACTAAGTTTAATTTGAAATATATATTTGCAGCTTCATCAGAAGCTCCATCTCCTGTGACCATATAACTGCAAATTGGAATTACGAAAACAAATTTGCTTAATGGAAACATGGCAATTTAGGAAAAAATTACACAAGACTTGTGATCAACAGCTTGATGTTACTACTGGCAGAAACAACGGAGAAGACGACAGGAAGTAGTAGGTGGATGATCGTTTGTTTTTGTTTCTTGGACAACGTGCAGCTGGCTCCAGCAGAGCTCTCATAGCACCACACAGTTCATCAAAGGTTGATGTCATTCAAACATGTTGAATCCACATCTCTTCTGTAAAATGGCCGACTACATTTTCCCAAAAATGCAGACGTCTCCTCTGATTGGCTGATAGCTGGTGATGAGCGCTAGCACCATGACTACATTATAGGTACTGTATATGTGACATAACTGTCTACATCCATCACTGTCGTCATTTTTTAATAACTTACTGCATGAACAAGCTTATTCATGTGGGATTTTTTATTTTATTTGTTATTTTATAGAAATACTGCAATTTGTGAAATTGTGATTTTTTTTTTTTTACATCACAGAATATCAACAAAGATTTGCAAGCATTTGCAATGGAAATGCAGATATTCTTTGACTAAAATAAAACCTTAATTTTTGTATTTTTTTATAAATACAAGTTCTGTCCTCCAGATATGTTCCATTCAGGACAATCATTCGCACTGCCTCCAACCTTCGTTTCCTGCGTAATTAATCATTTGTTTCTCTGCATGACGGCAGTTTAAAGGTTTATTAATAAAGTTTTAGGACAGAATATTTTTTGTCAGGTTTTGGCCCTGATTTTACCACCTGTTACCTTCTACTTCTAAGTACAACTAATCTGCAATTATTATAACTCCAGATATCAATATGTCATTATCTATTGTTATAACGACTGCTAATAACCTTTTGAGAGAACCTGACCTCAAAAATTGTGTGATAGTTTCTTACACTTGTCCAGCTGATTATAGTAAAAGAAATAACATTGTTTGTTTTGTAAAAACTAAACCCTAAATTATTAATTGAAACTTTTATTATCTCATAGAAGAATGCTGAATAAAGAACTTCCAAATCCTGGAAGGAGACGACATAAATCAAAAACAACAACAAAAATCAGCGACAGACTATTTTCTAAAGATAAGTGGACCTTTTGTTTTCTGGTTTGATTTTTGCGTTTCATAGCAGAGGGGAGCCACAGGAATACAGGGTGAAGCTGTGAACACTGCAACTAGGATAGGTGTCAAAAAAAAAGAAGAGTTGTTGTTTCCATCAGAATTAATAGGCCTAGCAACATGGTGACAAGAGGGCCAGCCATCCACTCTGTCACACACACACACACACACACACACAGGTAAGTAGTTTGAAAAAAAAATACAACAGTATATATTTGGAGCTTTAACAGAACCATCAATCAAATCAATACTTTCTTGGGTATATTATTATATTTGAGTGTTTAGTTTTGGATGTCAGTCGCTGCGTTTCCATTTCACCATATAATTGTGCAATTTGACATTTTGAAAATGAATTTGCTTAATGGAAACAATAAAAAACAACAACTTTTTTTGCTAAAAAGTTTTGGCTCTAGGATGAAGTGACTTTTTCGGGCAATGGATTATTATATAAACTGCAATGGAAGCACTTTGTTCGCATCACACAAATCACTGGATGTTACTACTGCTGGAAACCACAAAGAAGAAGGCGACTGGAAGTGGTTGGAGGATGATAATGCTGCATGTTTTTTAATGACTTATTGCGTTAACAAAGGTGTTCATGTGTGAATATGATTTCTTATAATGGAAACACCGCAACTGCGAAATTGTGTTCTACAGACATTAATTTTACTCAAAAACACAGCTTTTCAGTTCATGAGCAATATACCGCTCTGTTTATTTATTGTAGTCATTGTAAAGTATTCAGTACAGACAGAACTGAAAAAAATATAAAAAGTCGGAAACTGGTAACAAAAACAACTCCTAACTATGTTTCAGTTTCAATTTTTTTTTATTATTTTCATTTTGAAACTGTTTTTTCTTTTGAACAAATTGTATGGCTCGAATTTAGCTCCATAGAAAACGCACCGCAAGTTTTGTAGTTTTGGCTGTCAAGAATCTGAAATGTTTGTCCACTTTTTTATTCCACTCAGACTCAGACAAGTTGAACAGAGCGCACAGTTCTCCCTAGCTTCTGTTCTCTTGCTTAAAAAGAGCACACCCCACAGCATGATGCTGCCACCACCATGTGGGGATAGCATAAAAATATTATATTAACTTATACATTCATATTTCAGCTGTGCCTCCATAAAATTTTTACACCCCTATGAAATGTTCTGAGGGTGCCACCGTGGGCTAGAAACACGTGCAGGCCACACTTTTCAGATTTTTGTTTCCAATGAAAACCCACGCAACAAAACACCCCGAAGACGGTCTAATAGCGTGCAGTTCTCCCGGAGTGCTCAGCCGTCATGCCTCTGCGTTGTGCATCGCACGTTGCGTGCGTTCAGACACGCAACATTCCTCCGCGTTGGCTTCATCGGACTGCCTTTAGGACCCGGGTTGCCTCCTTTGTAGTTGTTCGGAGGCGACAAGGGGAGACCGAGATGCGCTTCTTCTCCTATCACGATTCACATCGCGGCTGAGCGAGCCGAGCCGAACCGAACCGAACCGAGCTGAACGGGGCAGCTCAAAGCCAGGACCCGCTCGTCCTCCTTTAATTGCTGTCCATTAAAAGGCTATTTTTTTAAAAGAAATAAATAAAAAAAATTAATATTATTTATGAACCGAAAGCCTACATTTCCCCGGTGAATTTCGGTGGAGCATGAGGCGCAGAGCCTCATCTGAGGAGCATTCCTCTTGTTGCCTCGGAAGGATCCACGCTGCCAGCTGCGCTCCTGTGACGAACGGAGGACAACAGCGGTGAATTCCTGCTAACTTTTCCGCGCATCTTTTTTTCGTTTCCAGCGGCGGCAGGTGCTTCTTCTTCCACTTGAGGTGAGTCTGCGCTCCCTCCACCCCCACCACCACCACCACCACCTTCCCTCCCTCTCTAATCATTTTTCTCCCATTTAGACGCGTTAAATTGAATTATTTACATTTTTCCACCGATGGAAACGCAAAGGAGCGTGGGAGAGACGCTCCAAACATCTCGTATTTATCCCGTTTCCTTCTCACTTATATATGTAATGGGTTTTTATCGACCTAATTAGGGACGAGGTGTAAAATGAGTGACGTTGGGTTTATGCTAAGTGAGCGCGTGGGACGTGCCACTGAATACTAATTACAATCAGATGGCGTCTCTTACGTTTCTTTTTTTTTCTCCCCCACCGTTTCTGTTCATTTTTATATTTATGTGATGCCCGCAGAAGAGGGATTCCCCCAGAAATACTAGGGCTTCGTCTTTTGCATCGCTGTGGGTCTCATTATCCCGGAGCTCCCGCTCTTCCCAGCGGCTGTCGGCGGAGCAGCAGCGATGTGGAGCAAGGAGGGAAGGTCTTCACTGGTCTCCTGCCTGGTGGTGCTCGCGGCTCTCTGGGAAATCAGGTGAGTGGGTTTCATCGACCGGAGACGCCTCGACCCACACACACACACACACACACACGCAGAGACACGTTGTACGTGGGGGAGCTCTTTGTTATCCTGTCCAGGTGGACTCTACTTGGAGCCCCCCCAGCCTGCCCCTCCCGTGGATAATGAGGGCAGTTCCCGCCATGGCCGTAAACTGGAAGCGAGAGGGCACGTGGGAAATCAAATCAAACGCAGCTGGGCTTTTCCTACATTGCTGAGCCACCGGCCTTAATTGGGTCTTTTCATTTAAAGAAAAGAAATCCAGTCAAACCCATCGGATCAGCCAAATGACCTCTTCCAAGGATAGCAACATGTCTCTTGCTCCCCCTTTCCCTTCCCCCCCCCCCCACACACAGTCCAACAATGTATGTCTCAAAGTATATTTCTAATATGGGATTGAACCAAATCCAGTCAAGTTTCAACAGCAAGGCAGTTCAAATGTGTGATATCTAAACAAGCAATAGACGCTGGATTTTGTCAAATGCCGCCTCAAAATCATCATGCAGATACGAATGTGTTCCAGTTGTTATGAACCAAAGGAAGCTCTGATCAGGTGGATTGTAGCCTTGACCTAAAGAGCCTCTGTGTTTCAGCCAATGTTTGTTTCATGGATAGTGAAGATCAACACATATTAGCCTTTCTTCCACTGCATGTCCTACTTCTCTCGTTTCTTTGTTTTCAAGAGAAACGATAAACTTAGACACGATCTTGCTACATTTATTTAGCGTGAATTACTCGCAGTTGCACTCATTGTGGCAGGTTTCATTATGTACTAAATAACTGCTTCTCAGTGTGAACCACTCCGACTAAAACGATGGTGACAATATGTTCCTGCTGCTCCTTTAACCATATTTCCAGCTGTTGTCAGTAAGTGTCGCTAACGGTTTATTTAGTTGTGACAGCTTTCTGAATTATTCAGCAAGCTATTCTAAGGATGCGCTTCTTCAAATATTGTACCCGACCTTTGACCCAACGACCAGGCAGTCTTTGTGCAGGTGACGTCACATTGCTACATGTCTATGTTGCAGGCCTATGTAGACCTTTTCTCAAGGTGTACGAAAACACTTCAACACCAAGAATATGAGGTAATGCGGCATTCACAACACAACACTGCTGTATTTTTCATGACTGTGGTGATGTGACTCTGTTAAAGAACAATCTAGATATTGTTTCTTACTTTGTGAATAGGTTGTTATTGTTTTTTATTTACATTGTTGTACAATTAAATGTGACTTCAAAATAGGCCTATAGAAACAGACGCATAAAAAAATGAAAAATACAACATAACTTTAGTTTTAAGACAAAGAAATAAACATTTCCAACCCGTAGAGGAGGAAATGTTTCCAGCTCAGACTAAACTCGGGTTATTAAAGTTGTACAGAGAGAAGGCCCAGATGTAAACGGTTATTAATATTGCGTACTTGCACAGTAACCAATAACCCGAGGGCTCTCCAGCAGAGCTGTCTGTGGTGGTGATTAAGCTAAGATTTAACGTGGGACCCAATCTGAAGTCATTTACCACGAATCTCTGCCCTGATTGCATTTGCATACCCGGCTGTGTTTTTGGCTCCGAGATCACATGGCTCTCGAACTGGGTCAGCCATGACGGGGAAACGACGTCTGTTTGTGCGTCTTGCGGTGACACACGCGGGGAGTCGCTACCAGACAGCAAGGACCTAGAAAACCCAGAGGAGACCTGCGTGTGAAAGAGTTTTGAAGTGGTTGTTGTCTCACCGTCCTGTTCTGTCTGCTGCTTAGATCGGTGAACGCCGTGTCGGAGAACATCACCCAGTTCACGCTCATCCTGGACAGACTGCTGGATGGATACGACAACCGTCTCCGGCCGGGTCTGGGAGGTGAGGAAACGCAGACGGAGCCGGGCGTGCTCCGCTCTGAGACGTCGCGATTGTTCTTACCCAACCGCACGCATCTCGTCTTTCATGGCTGAGAGCTTGTTCACACCGAGGACACTTGATTTAACATCAGCCTTCATAGCACCAATAACCTTTGGCAGCAGTCCCCTTCAGAATACACCGATAAACACACTCTGAGCGTCCGCAGCGCTCAGATTACACAACAGCCCAGTCCACTTCCTGGAAAAGTGGACGCATCAAAACCCACGAATGGATAATTTCTTTGTAGCTTTTTTTTAAAAAGCAAATTTCACAGAATCAGATAAATACATGATAAAACAATCAAGTTTATTTGTATGGCACATTTCAGCAACAAGGCATTTCAAGGTGCTTTAGACAATAAAAACTTTTAAAAATGTCATAAAAACATCATACAGTCATAATCATCTACTCTCATGAAATATGTTGGTCAATGTTTTGTGTTTTATGGTTCAAGAGCAAATCTGGGTTTTTAGCATTCATTTAAAATAACTTGGTGTTTCAGCAGGTTCTCAGTTTTCCTCACGTTTCTTCCAGATAAATGTTTTTATTACACAAGTCAGTTTGTTTTGGGTCATGATGTATGATGAGTTCTGAAATAGACGAACTCTTGTAATATATATATATCAGAAAAATATTTCAATATTGACACTAACGTGTAATATTTCATAGATTATTTTAGGCAAGTTTGATCTTTTCCACATTTTGTCCAGCACAAATTTCACTTTATTTTATTGGGATTTTATAGAAAAATGTAAATATAAATGTCATGGACACCTAACATTACCACCTCCTGTGAAACACGGAGGTGGCAGCATCATGCTGTGGACACGCTGTTCTCTAATGGAGACAGAGCAACAGACGCTCATTTTAACGTAAGAGTCAAAATGTCTTGACAAAAGTATCATGTAGCTTTATGCAGCCAAATTTCAGCAACGTTTAGTCGAGACACGTCATGGTAAAAGCATTCCTCAATTATGTGAAATCATAAAAAAATGCATAATTTTTGAGTCTCTTACATTTTTAGGAAACATCGTTTCTATTTATTCCACAGTAGCATGGAGTTAAAGTTATATCTTAACATAAGCAGCTGTGTTTTGGAGTAACTCCAAAAATCTCATGATCTATTTTTCCCAAACTTGAATCAAATTGAATTTCCTCTTCCTCTAATAACGGTCTAGTTTTCACTTGTTGTTGAAAACATTTTAGTTATTCTGCCTTAATTTGAACTTGGATTTCATTTAGCTCAATTTGAAAACAAAAAAAGTCATTTATTAAAACTATGATTGAATATTCAGACTGGGTTTAGATTCACCTTATAGCTGGACATTAACCCTAAACATCTTGTTTATATCAAAGTATATTTACGCTCAATGGCTCAGTCAAAGTACAGATCCTGATCCATATAGTCCGTTATGGTTGTCGTTTTTCTTCCCGCTCGAGCGTATCAAGACGCAGAATCGTATCGTTGAAGTTCAGGTCAGATGGATGCGACCTGGACTTTAGGTCGGGTTTGAATGGGATACATGTCGAATACTCAAGCGGTCTGGGTCGCATTCGAAAAGAATCCAACCTGTGCTGCTCAGACTGTCATGAAAAGATCGGACACGGGTCGCATTACGTGATAAAACAAACTCGGAACTGGGTCACTTCAGGCTGCAGTGTGTTCGCAGCCTAAGACTTTTGATGTATTGTAATTTATAAAGCACAATACACTTGGAAGTTTGAAAGTGCACGTTCGGCGTGCTCGGCATCTCGTTTTCCCCCTCCAAAGCTGAGCTCCTCCCTCAGGATTTGGTGCATTTTTTAATTTCCAGTTCCTGGGGCCATCAGTCCATCGCAGGAGCTGCCATATGGGGCAGAGAGAGACCTCCTCTAGCTCAGCCTGACTCGCTGGCTGCTGCCACATTCACTGCTGAACAGGACAAGATGAAATGTTGTTTTTTTTTAACACTGTGGTGATATTCTGTTTAATTATACATTTTTATCATGAATCATTTCTTTAAAAAAAACAAAACATGCATTTGAGGAATCTCACGAATCAACTGGCAGAATTGAAGCATCTGAAAATCAATATTCCTAAATTTTTATTGTTTTTTTTTTCTGTTGAATTTATATGGTATAAATCTGCAGCACACAATAGCAAGTAGTAATAACACTAACTGAAAGGCCAGCAGGAAGGTGTCATTATTAATCGATTTGCATTTCATACCAAAAATCTGCTGTTTATTCATTTTGATTTATTTATTTTATCAGATTGGATGAATGACAGCCTAAGACGATAGGGCAAAAATTTCATTCATTCATGATTTGGAGTCTACAGATGCAGATGTTTACATAGCCTGAATAAAAAGACAAATACTTTTTTACTTTTTTTAAAATTGTGTCTAAAGTTAGGCCATATAAACTTTTTTTGTTTTAGGTCAGTGGGAATTATCCCAATTATTATAGAGTTTTTTTTTTTTTGTAATTTTCTTTGAATTTCAAATTGATTTGAAATTCCTCAGTGTTTCTATTTTCATGTAAATATTTTAACCGATTAATCTGGCAGATTCATGCCTCTTTAAATTGTATCTGAGGATGAACTGGGTCTGGCTTCTCTGTATGATATCTTCATTCATTTCCTTTGATTTTTTCCACCCACATGAGTGTTTGATGAAATGTTGTGAATTTATCAGAAGCTTAATAAGAGACAGTATTAGCAAACGTGAGATTCTGAGAAAAGTCATGAAAAAATAAGAAATCAGAAAATTATCTTGACATTTAGCAAACAGGAAGTTTAGCCTGGTTTGATCTCAGACAGTCGAGGACAAAAAGGTTGTGTCTTTTTACACAAGACATGTAAACATCTGGTTGCAGCCGCAGCTCTGATGAAGCGATCATCTGGAATCCGACACGTCTTTTAAAAGCATGAATACGTAAATCAGTTTGTTTGTTTTTTTACCCCTTACTTGATTAAATCCCATCGGAAACCAAACCCTGTAACACTCGGCATGTACTGCTATGCTGCATGCATTAACGTACAAAGGCACGACACCGGGGAAGCAGCTTTTACAAACCGAGTTGAGGAGAGGAACACAACGTGACATCAGATGCAGTTTTCCACACGGCAAACACATTTGATCCATCTGTGGCATCTATGGGGAAAACATGTTAACGCTCCACCGAACTTTGGTTTGCAACACTGGGAAAAGAGGCCGAGCGCAGCTGCATGCGTGCGCTCACTCGAACATGGAAGGTAGACGGGCTTGGAGACGGTTTTTATACATTTCAAGTAACGTGAGAGAGAGATGGAGACTTGAAAACCGAATCCCTGGTTTTAATGCAGATCGGGAAACCTTCAGATATTTATTTAAGGCAGCAGCTTCTGGAGTGATTTTTATTTTGTTCTGTTAAAAAATGTTTCCCATTTCCTTCAGTGAAAAATAATTTGTAGCTGGAGCTGATGGGGGTAGAAAGAGGAGTAAGACTTGCTTAGTGAAAATTTGATCATTCACAAAATGGCGTTTGTTTTTTGTAGTTTCCATTTCTGATGCAAGTTTTTCCTTCGTGGTATTGTGTTAATCTGTATACTCCATAGCTGAAACAAATACTTAAAAATTCTTCTAAAACACTTATCTGTCTGTTTTAATATTTCAAACTCCAACTAAAGCTCAATATGGATAAGTAAGAAATGGTCTTATCGCTAACACAGAAGCTAACATCTCTACTTTTGGATTAGATTGCGTATTTTAGCTTATACAAGCTGCGCTTTTTAAAATACATATATTTAGATAAGCTCTACAAAAAGATGTGCGAATAGCAACATTCTCTGTGAATAATTTGGAGTTTTGCTCCACAGAAAAATCAACAAATACAGAGCCCTGATTGATGGGCTCCACACCTGTTTGTTTCTCTGTTGATTTTATTGAAATTAGTGAATTTTCCCAAACATGTTTTTTCACCCCACACAAGTCAGATGATCAAGAACAGGACCGGAAGTAGCAGGAGGATGATGATTCTCACGTTATTTTAACAGTGTTTTTTATTCAGTCGCAAATTGTGTTTTTTCGACATTAGTGGAAAATTGAAAACGTTTTGCAATGGAAACTCAGGTTCAGCTAGTGACTGTTTTGGATCGCCCAATGCCACTTGCATCATGGCAGTTCGTCTTTCTCTTAATGGTTTATTTTTCATTGTTAATTCTCGAAAAAAAGAAGTCAGTTACGCATGGTAAAACCTGAGTACGTCACGTTAATGTACATCTTGTATAAAAGATTTCTCCCTTATAAGCTGTAATTATTTTTCTGTAACCCCCGACTAATCATGTCCTGCTATTAAAGCCCAGCACAGTTTGTTTGTTCCCGGTTTGTTTGGCCAAAGAGTTCATCTCTCTGAACTGATGAAATTCAAGCTGCCCAGCATTTGGTTTTTGCGAACGCTCTCCTTCCTCTGCGTCCAAACTGGCAGGAGTTGAAGCTGACATTTGGATAGTTGCACAGAGGAATATTCAGTCCCTAACACATGCAGGTTGTGTCTTACCAATTAAACGTGGCTCAGTGGACCCATCTGCACCAAATGATTCAGACTGCATGGAAAGCACATGTCTGGGACTGTTGTCTCTGAATAAATGAACTTTAGGTATTGTCCTTATCCCCACAGATCCTGGAGTCCTCAGGCATTAAATGCACTCTTGATATTTTCAAACAGTAAACACGCTCTTCCCCTCAGGAGACATGTAGGATTTTAGCTTGTTTTCGGTCATGTCCCTCTTGTGCTATGTGGTTTCACCAGAGCTGCCATTTGGTGGCGGATTTGTGTTTTTGATGACTTATCATAATTATAGGTTGTTTGTTTTCTTTTGGGTCTTTGCTTGAATTTCAAGGTTGTGATTTCTCTACGTTCCAACACACCCAGAATCCTCTGCTGTAAAATCTGAACCCTTAGGCTTAATTATTGTTAATTGCTGTTGCCAATTGCATTTTTTTGGAACGAATAACTGTCGGGACAGTGAATTATCTACATGTAACAAACTCTACCATTCAATCAAAAATTACACTAATGAGTAATTTTGCTTTTGTTAATTGTTGCTTATGCAGCTGATTGGTCATGAGCATATGTTGAGTTTACTTTTTAAAATTTTGCTTGTGAAGATTGAGGCTCCAGGCTAGTAGTTGTTTCTTGTTCTGCATAATGTTGCACAGTCACCATTCACAGTGCTATAACATTAGTGTCCCTACAACTCACTAATGGGGCATTGTTTCCACCTCCTTTAGGTCCAGAACGGTTCCACTGCAACCTATAAACCTTTGGATGAGACATAAAGCCTCACTCTGGTTTCATGCCTCAACCATCAACCATTCACATCAGGTTCCACCGTCTTCAAAACAAGAGCTAAAGATGCTTCTTCTAGCAGTTTAAGTTGAAGTTTCTCATTTTATTGATTCAGCCTCAGGCCGTCCTGCAGGGTTTTCCCCGACTCCCGACACGGAGTCCGTCAGTCTGACCTCACCTCTCTGAAGCTGTTTGAGCTCTGCAGGTTCGCATCGTGAAGCGACAGACTCTGCTCAGAGCGTATTTTGTAAATGCACTTTTGAGGAAAGTTATTATTTGATATCCTTCTGATTTAGGTTGTTTTCTCACTTATTATTGTCTGGAAATAGAAGATGTAAAGAATTAATATTGATCGCCCTTTGGAGCTACATGCAGGATTTTAGCGTGAAGATGATGACGTTAATGATCGCAATACCGATCTGATATTAATATTTGTATCAGTTTAGTTATTAGTTATTTAGTTAAGGGCAGATATACTCTGCTCTAATTCCATGCTTTGTGCTCTGAGCGACATCAAGCTTTATTATTAATTTTTACATTGTACTCAAAGTGTCTAATTGCACTTTCCAAACCAACAGTTTAATATAAGTCATTTACATATATTTTGAGTTAAAACCCTATTTACACTGAAATGGAAACATGTAACATTCACTGTTTTTGGGACGTCTAGTGCTTCCAGATCTACCTGAGTCATTAAAAAATAATCTGGTTTTATACATTCCTAGCTTTTTCTTTTCTTTTTAGAGAAAACCAACTGAAAGTTTCTACTCTCCGCACATAAACAAGTTTCTCTTTCTAAAAATGTTTTTCTGCACCTCAGTTTTCCACGTTATTGGAGTCACACACACACACACACACACACACACACACACACACACACACACACACACGCACACACACACACACACACACAATAATAATTTACCGGGTATTTCAGCCTGAGGTTTCCTAGTGAAAGGGGGCAGATGGGAACTTCAGTGACTGTCCTACAAACAAACCCATCTCCTGTTTTGTATATTAATGGTCTCTGTGGCAGAAAAGACGCTGTGGGAGATGACACCGGGCTTTTTTCTCTGATCCAGACAGGGTAACCGAGGTGAAGACCAACATCTTCGTCACCAGCTTTGGGCCGGTCTCAGACACCGACATGGTGAGAGCAGATACTCACTGTGATACTTCAGCTGTGGTTGGAGGAGCAGAGTGCTTCTGTTTGCTTTATTTTAGTCGTGTTGGCCCCTTTTATCCATTTGCTGTTACATCACTCCGTTTTTTTCTGTCCACACACACACTCACAGATGATACAGAAGCCACGCTACGGCACGATGTCTATTCATCTCTAAATTTTCATCTCATACATTATTGAACATCTTGTTGGTATTCAAGTCACTGCTTTCTTTATCCTGCGCCCGCCTGCTTGTTATTCTGAAACACATGGCCACCTTTGCTTCAGCCCCGTTTCTGTTCATCTGCTCCCATTTTCCAGGTGATTGATCAGTCGATTTAGCAATCAGAGAACCTGGATGAGTGATGAAACGTTTTATTTTTTTTACACCGTAGATCTCCTGGCCGAAAACAAAACATCTCCTGCATGGAATAAAATGTGTATTAAATCTGCAAACTGTGTGAAAGATTTGTTGCTGCATGGGCGAAGATCCCAGTTCTAAAAATCACCACCCACATGTGATGTACTGTGATTAATTGTCTAAGTGAAGTGCTCAGTCTGCCTAATTGCACCCCTGATGTCTATTTTTCAAAATATATTGCACATGAACAGATGGACAGACGGGCAAACATCTGACAGGAAAACATTCAATAATTTCATTTCACTGGAGGAAGATGTAACTGTGCAGCTCAACTAAAGCCCTAATGTATAAAATTTCAACTCTAGGTGGGTTTTAATTAGACCACAGGGGCCTTCACACTCGTTGGCATCAGAAAATCCAACACCTTTTGGGTATCCCAATCAGTTGCTATAAATCAAGTGTCTCGAAGCTTCGATTAGTAATTAGGGCCGACGCTTTTAGTTAGATTAATCTTGAGGAATCGATTATTGAAATGATCGTGAACTATTTATGTAATTGATTAATCGTTAAGTGGAGCATACAGACTGAAAGAACACAACACTCAGAGCTAAAATGCTACAAAAATATACACATTTTACATTTAAGGTAAATGCAATCTTTTCATTGTGAGTATGTTCTCCCCAGAAATGGCAATGGCTGGAAAAAAATGTCATAATAAGCCACGTTGTTGACCGTTTAGCACAAAGTGAGCTTGAATACGAAAGAACCGATCGCAGTGACGAAACTGAAGCTTTTAGAAGCACCTTTAGCTGCAGTAACTCAGAGGAGTCATCTTCTGAGTCTCACAGATGGTCACATGGCAGATGGGCTCACACTTGTCACAAGAATCACTTTGCATAAAGAGGAGTTCATGTTCTGCTCAGTAGCTGAAAGCAGAAGAGAAAACAAGCCCAAATCATCATCCTTCCCCCACCAGAGGAGCCAAAAAGAAGAATCTTATTGAGCTTTTCAGTGGAATCAATTAGGACTTAAACGTAGAGCAGAAAATTGAGCTGAAACTTTTTGTCTTTATCCGTTTTATGTTTTATTGAAGTGGCAATATTATGTATTTTCCAGTCACATAGTGCCCTTTTAGATCATAGAGAAGTATGTTAACTTCAGTTGTTATAAAAATGCTGATTATATCAAATATGACTCAAAATAAATTTGCTTTCTAATTTAACGCCACAAATTTGCCCCTGTCTCTTTAAAAGTTCCTGCTCTTTCTGAAACTTCACCTTCAGGACGTCATAGCGTGGGTCTTCTCTCCAGATGCTTTTTAAAAGTTTTTCCCAGCGTTGCTCTGAGAAGAAGCTCCTAAAATGAGCTCAGCTGACGTGCAGATTTACCAGGTGTTTGCTAATTGCTGCTGGCTAGTCTGAAGGAGCTGAGTGGAAGAGTCGTAGAAGAGGGAGGCCCCACTGTGAGGCTGAAGCTATTGAAGCCGCGTGTTTTTGTTGGAAAAAGTGCCTGTGTCCACCCCAGCGTTTTGTGCAGCCATGGATATATGAACAAATCAAAGCAACACTCCAGGTATGTTTTTGATGAATTGTATCATAGCATAATGTGAAGCTCAAAATAGTAAATTTTGCATAACGCTACTGTTTAAAAATTTTGTTGGATTTTTATTAATTGAAATTTTGTGCAAGTATTTGAACATTATCATCATTTGACTCCATGACCAACATGGAGCCAAAAGTTTTAAACCAACCATCCATCAATTCGTACCTGGAGATGTGTTGACCCGCCTGCTCATGACAGTAGTCTTCATTACTAAAATATTTATTATTTTCTGTGATAATAATAGATATTTAAAACCGGCCCCAACCCAGGGGCCCTTATTCTTCTAAATCCGCCCCTGCTTAAGATGACCAAAGACTTAAATGGCAGCTAATCCTCCTGGGAGCTGCTGAGCTACATGAGGCTTCAGTCGCAGTTTCACCATCCAGAGATCTAAATATTAGAGGCTTTTCGATTGTGACGTGAAAAGGAAAAGAGATAAAAACAACTCTGTATCTCTCACTCCCACACTTGGTTGTAAATCTCACACATACTCGCATTTCATGGTGCTGTGCTGTGCTTTCTGCCCTAAATCCTCCTTCTGACAGCTCTGGGTTTTAGGTCAGGGGGTTTGCTCTGGCCTCACAAGCCGGGAAAACACCAATTCAGGGAATAAGACGGAGCGTGCAGGCCACACCTTAATGGATCTTTCATCAAGCAGGGAAAGGTTTTAAAGTGGCAAATGAAGTCAGTTGTGAAGATGCAGCTTGTAGACATCCATAAATCATGAGTGGACTTGAGCACTGTTTTTCTTCGCTATATTTAGGAGGGAAGGGTTTTTTGTTTTCACACAGAAATAGAAAGGGGAAAAAAAACAGGACTATCACTTTTTCATCAATTCACTTTCCCCATCCTCAGGAGTACACTATAGACGTTTTCTTCCGGCAAAGCTGGAGGGACGAGAGGTTGACGTTTCACGGGCCGATGAATATTTTGCCCTTGAACAACCTGATGGCGAGTAAGATCTGGACTCCTGATACCTTCTTTCACAACGGAAAAAAGTCTGTGGCACACAACATGACCATGCCCAATAAACTGTTACGGATCAAAGACGACGGGACTCTGCTCTACACCATGAGGTAAAGACAATCACACCTTCATGTTCAAACAAAACGTCAAAGTCCTTGAAGTGCTCCACTGCTAAACCGGGGCTGGTTCTGGTTCTGAACTATAAAAACACAGCAAAATAAAATGTTGCGATTTCTGCACCGCAGCGTCATGTTATTACATCACAAAAATGTCTCTTTTAATAATTGTTGGGTTTTCTCTCTGTTACATTTAACCCCACTATTTATCTCTATGTCCCTCCAAGCCATTATCCTAATATAGCTGAACTTTAGAAACGTTTCACCGAACCAAAACCGTTTGCTTGTGAAAAAATCTGCACAATACCAGACTCCATTTCTGATCAATACTCAAGAATTTAATCACAATATCAGATGAAATAATCTTTAAATTAAGATGGAAGGTCAACACGGTTCTAGAAGTGACTTACATTCACTTCAAAACACGCAGCAGAAGAAAGACCAGATGCAATGAGTTGGTATTATCATAGTCTCTATTAAACCTTCATTAACCTGCAGTTGTCAGTTACATAAATAAAAAACTTTTTGTTTGAATATTAGTTGAACTTAAAGATGCGTTAATGAAGTAATTGTTTTTCAGTAACTTAAGCAAGGTAAATATAGTTTCAGAAATTAGGAATAATGCTAAACATGAACAAAGTTTTTTTGAATTGTTTTTTTAAATTAGGAGAACTGAACTCACGGTTTATACCCACTCTCTCTACAGAGAATGGAGAAATGTACCGCTCAAAGAAAACGATATTCTCTTCCTGCAGCTTGTTATTGACGCATATTCTGGCCAGAACGTTGTCCTGGTAGCGTTCTAGTGATCGCTACAATGACAAATGGTACATTGGAGGATAAATCTATAAAAACAGCCCTAAAGTTCATCACCAGTTCTTCTGAAGTATAACATGTCTCATTATTAAAGAACTCTGTTTTTGCTTTCTCCACCTCAGGCAAAATTACTCATTTCTCTGTTCTTGTGGTGCGTGTGCAGGCCTTAATTTGTTTTGAACATTTTGACTGGTTGTTGGCCTTCACTAAATACACAGGCTCAATAAAGCAATAATAACCAGCCAATCTCTTAACAACTCAAGGACAGAAATGTAAAACTATTTACAAGACAGATTGTGAGAACTAGCTTCCTGACAAGAAGCTGTGAGAGCTAACTGCTCTTTAACTTTCGTAGCTGCAGAAATCCTCACAGTGGCAAAGAATAGAAACCTATTCCACATAGACTATAAAGACACGCAAAAAATCAAATAAAAACAGCATGGCATAAAGCAAAGGTTCAACAGTCATGAGACCTTAGAAAGCAAAGTTCTGAAAGTCTTTAGCAATTAGCAGCAGTTCAAGTTTGAGATCAAGCTAGCTTTGTCAGCTAGGTAGCTAACTAGTTGAAGCAATAAAACCATTCTTATTCTAGGTGGCCTAAAACAGGACATGTTTAGTCAAACAGTGAGTCACAGTAAATAAAAATATCCTGTTTTATCTATGTATCATCATGTGTTGTGCTATAGGCTAAAGACAGAAGAGAGCTCAGCCTCTCTGCTGCCTCCTGTTTGCTGTGCTCTGCTAGTTAAAACACAATTTCTTTCCAGTTCAAGGCATTGGAGATGTTTAGTGTCTTGAATGGTGCATGCAGCTTTTTTACTTTAATTTATTTTCTCTTTTTTTTTTTCATTATTTGTTTGTTTATAACCTGTGCTGTTTACTTTTCATGCATTTGCAAATTCTCGCTAACGTTCTGTGAATTGGATGCAGGTTAACAGTGCATGCCGAGTGCCCAATGCATCTGGAGGATTTCCCCATGGACTTTCACTCCTGTCCTCTAAAATTTGGCAGCTGTGAGTAACTCTCATGATGATAGAGCCTGAGGCAACCGCAACTAAGATGCAATCCTTTTGTCTGCCATGCACCTCACTGGTTCTTCGGTCCAAGAGCGGCCTGAGTACCGAGTGAACCTAAAATGCACGGCTCAGCTGGCAGTGACCCTACAAATATCAACAACAGTGCACCAGCGTTAAAAGTTTAAACATAATAGTATCAACAGGGAAAATGCTCTTATTTTCTTCTAAAATCATCCAAATATTTTTTTCTTTGGAGAGCTGAGCTCTTTCATTAGGTGCTATGGCTTCTTTACATTTGGATGACTGATTTTTTAAATTTATTTTAATTTTTGCTTTAAGCTGTGAAGCTCGTTGCAGGAAAAGAGGAGATGAATAATTAGCCATTATCAGACATCAGAACTCAATAGGTTATGTCTGAAATGCCTTGACGTTTGGAGTAAATGAAAAGCATGATTAGCATGACTTACAGTAAAAAGTGTTTTGTTGCGTTTTCTTAACGCAGTCAAACAAGAACAGAAAACGTCAACAGGGCTTTGATTCAAAGCTGATGCTTCAAAGGGGCAGTATTATGTTTTTCAGGTACATTGTGCCATTTCATTGCTCAAGAAAGTAACTTTGTTACCTTCAGTAACATTCTATATATATTCAATTTGACTTAAAATAAATCTAACTTTGGAAATAACGCTTTACAATTGGGCCTCTGTCTCTTTAAGAAGCTCTGGGCCTTTCTGATCCTCCGCCTTCAGGAAGTCATCACACCTCTATTATTAACCCTTTAATGGTTTTTACTAGCGTTTCACTGAGAAGTAGCTCCTATAATGAGCTCAGCAGATGCACAGTTCCACCAGGTGTTTGCTAATTGCTGCTGGCTAGTCTGAAGGAGCTTAGTGGGGAGGAGTCGCAGATGTCTGACACCTCAGCTGTGAGGAGGAGCTTGATCCTCGAAGGCGGGGCTACATCCCATGAAGAGCTCAGCTGAAAGGTTGCCATGGTGATTAAAAGATTTCTCAAACATGCATGACAGAATCAAAGCAACGCTACAGATATGTTTTAGATGAGGGGATCACATTATAACATGATGTAAAGATCAAAATAGTCAATTTTACGTCATACTGCCTCTTTAAATACAGAGTAGCCGGGATGCTTCATTTGGGTCACTGAAAAAAGAAAAGTAATTGATATCTGTAACCGCCTCAGGATTATTCCCGTTTGGGTTTATCCTGCTCTCTCTTTTTTTAGATGCCTACACAACCTCAGAGGTGACTTACGCTTGGACCCGAAACGCTTCCGACTCGGTGGTGGTGGAGGAGGAGAGCTCCCGCCTGAACCAGTACGACCTGCTTGGTCAAACTGTTGGACAGGAACGCATCAAATCGAGCACAGGTAAGAGCCGACGGGACTCCAGCAGACGTCTAGAAGCAAACCCGTCACGCCAGGGGCGTCGGGCTCATTTTCATTTTGGGCAACATCAAGATCATGGATGTCCAAAGCCGGTTGAGGCAGAATGTATTGATGAAACTACCCAGTAGCAAACTGTTTTTATTTATTTTAAGACATAAAAATCAAACATTTAGGTGCTGTGGTGTAAAGCAGGGGCAAAGCACGACCCACGTATTGAGGACTTGGTCCTTGTGGCGGTGGTCACAGGTTCAATTCCCGGCCTGGTGACATTTGACGCATGTCTTCTCCCTCTCTCATTACCCTCTTTCCTGTCGAACTACTTTCAAATAAAGGCCACAAGAGCCACCAAATTTTTTTTTAAAAATCAAACATTGGCCCTTTGAAAATGACAACAAAATTCTGTCATGTTTCCAAATGGTCTCGTACCATTTATGTTACGAGACCATCAGACTGAGGGCAAATTTTTTTTTTTTTATTGTAAAGATCGCAGAGTCCAGAAGGCCACATAAAAACTTGTGGGGTACCAGATTTGGCCCCCGGGCCTTGAGTTTGAAATGTCTATCCTTCAACTTAGAAAATGCCAATAGCCAATATTTGTAAGGGCTACACCTGCTGAGCATGCGGGCAAACTCGCATCTTTAGTCATCATTTCTGCAACAACAAATGTCAGCTCTGATCGAAGAGTTGCAGTGACGCCTTCAGCTTTTTATTTTTTGGACTTAGCACTTTCAAATCCTTTTCTGAGTTTTGTCGCAGCGTGTGAAAACCAAACTGTTTTTCTTCTTTGAGAGGATGCTGAGCTCCTCAACCTCCTACGTGTGGCGGCTGTGAATTTGCTAGTTTTAGCTTTTTCATGCTCACTTTGTTTTTATTTCTTTTATTTTTTTGCATCTGATTTATTATTAAATATCCAGACTGCTGGTTTGGCTTGTGCAGAATGGCTTTGTTTTAACCTCATTTAATTGAACAGGGACACCTGGATTAAAGATGAGTTCACATATCTACATGGAAACATGCAATAAGCTAAATACTGTTGTTCTATGGTTAACAAAGAAAAATGCTCTTAACACGGCTGTGCCCTGCTTTACATTTCATTTAGGGTTGATTACGGCTCCAATCAAGCCCAATAAAAGTGATCTCGCCTCCCAGAATGTAATTGCTTTCTATTTCGCCTCAGATCTTGCATGCAACCTGCTCGATTACATAAAATCCAAGAGACATCTGGCTGCGCCGAACAGAAGCCCTCCCTTTGCTTCTGGGGGCCTGAATGAAACGAGAACAATACATGATTTAAGCAAATCACTTGTCAAGTTCCAGCTTCAGAAAAGACAGAAAACCAAGAAAACAAGTGCTCCAGAAAATAGACTACACCGTAAAAAAAGAAAGGAAAAAAAAAAAAAAACTGGTAATGAGGACTAAAAATAGAAGCAACATTTCACGCAAGCATGCTAACACAGATGACAAGAAATGGGGGCAGAGCTTGAGATAGCATGCATCAATACGTTGGTGTGTATGTGTGGGGGGAAAAAAGAAAGATATCATGTTGAAACAGACTGGAAGATCAGAAAAAATGCTGCTTGTGAGGCATGAAGAAGTAAACCTGACCGCAGATTTAGCTGCTGTAGAGTCAGAGGGATTCTTCAGCAAAAACATGACGAGGCCCTGATGTTTTCTGCAGCGGCGGCTCGGAAACATCACTCAGTCTGAAATCATTTTTATCTTTGATGACGCATGGTTGTACACAGCTTACATTACGCAACGTCACACTGGTTCAGTTTTCAACTCATCTGTAATGATTAACACATTTTAATTCAACGTAACTGGAGTTTGGGCTTCAGCTTGATAATATCTTACATTTGATTGCGTTTTACTTTGTTGTAAATACGAACCAATGATTGCATTACGTCCAGGTACTGAACAAAAAACCGTCACCTCTTCACCACTGTGCTGCACAGTAGTTGTTTGTATTTAATTTACAAGCCAAATTTCAGTTTTGGGAATTTCAAGTGCTAGACCAACTAGAAGTGGCACATAACTGGGATATAGAAAAGATTTTCACCATTTGAAACTATATTTCTATATTCATCATTTAATGAGTACATAACCTGACTGAGCCAGCGATTAGTTTAGTAATTGATTATTATATCGATTCACCAGATTATAAAAAATTGCTGCAATCTGCAGATTTTTCATTTATTAGAAATGCATTGAAAGATAGAAATAAATTATTAAATTCTTCTTAATTTGGATCATAAACATCTTATTGCCTAAAATTCAGTAGCTTAGCATACCTTTAGTGAACACCTGATCATTTGTTGCAAAGGTGCTGCTAAAAGAAGTAATATCTAATATCAATGTGTGAGAAGCTCAGCCCCTTCTGCACGACTTCACATCAATGCAGTGTTTGGATGATTAGCTGATTATTTTTTCAATTAAACGATTAATAACTGGATTAAAGGCTTACCAGCATTTAATTTACAGAATTTGAACTGGGTGATGTCTGTCTGCTACCTGAGGAGTTTTGGGTAGAACATATAAGGTTTTTTTTCTCTTAAATGTAAAATGCATATATATCTATATATAAATATTTTTTTTATTTATTTTTATTTTTTAAATCTAGTTCTGACTTAATTACTGCTCTGAATACATTGATCTTTCATAAAATCAACTGTCTTTGAGGCTGTACACTTCAGTGAACGATTAATCCATTGCTAAATTAGCTGATGATTATTTCAATAATCGATTAATCCGATTAACCGCTTCAGTCCCAGCCTTGACAACTTAGGCTAGGTGAGTCTTACACATTTGTGCCACACTTTTCAGATTCTTATGTGTAAAAATGATCTCAAACTATATATCCCTTTATACCTCCTTTACAATATGCAATAATAAACTTTGATTAAGTGGTGTCGTAATAAGACACAGTGGAAACAAATGTAAGGCATATGAATACCTTTACAAGTCTTGAGACTTCGCCACAGTTTTAATTCGTCTCCTGTTGCTTAAAAAGCATTAATATCAATTGACTGCAGTAAAGCTGGCTCTCTTGACAAGGCCCTCCGCTGTGGCAATATGGCAGAACAGTGATAGATATCATACAGGGCACCGCGCAAAACAACCTCTCAGTGGTTATTAACTTAGAAATAAATGCCCTCTGGGGAGAACACATGAACAGCAGCAGAGCTGGAGCAGGTGGAGGCAGCGAGGAACGCAAAATGTGTTAAGAAGGCCGCGACATCGGGGCAGCGTAGGCGTGACGGCGGTGGGTGAGGTCGGGACGCCCCGCGCTGCCGTGGCGAAGTAAACGGCGAACAGAACAGGGTCAAACCAGATGTGTCGCGTCACTTTGTGACAACAACAACAAAAACGGAGTGGGGGGTAAGAGCGGCGAATGGAGAGTGAAGCCCTGAGGGGTCGCAAAATTCACCTGACAGATCAACCAGATTCAAGGACTGTTGCTATGGTAACAGTGGACGTTGCCATGGGGAAAAATGTGTGTGAACTAATGATAAAGTTGTGGCACAGCACTCCACAGACGGTGAGAAAAGTTTCAGAAGACACAAAGATATCAGAAGCTATTTATCACTCAAGCTGAAGGCCGGACGATGAAATCATGTCACAATATAATCGTTTCATGTCAGTCGATATCAATAATTATCTGAAATACTGCCAAACTGATGACAGGACCTTGTTTTAGCCACAATTTCATCTGGAGAAGTTCTCATTTTCTCCTTTCACTCCACGAGTTTGTTTTTAATTTCGTCAGCGGTCGTGAGGCACGGTGTCAAAACATGAAACTGCTGCTGCGCAAGTTACTCTACTGGTTGTTGCAGAAGTGAAGAGCTTGTTCTAGTGCACATATTTCTGTAACAGGTTTCCAGGTTGCTCAATTTGATGCCACAAAAGATAAACCTACGTTGGCCATAATTGCAGCAGGACAAACATGCTGCACAGCCTCCATTTCCATGATTCTGTTCCTTCTTAGAGAAGCTACCGCCACGTATATTTTGAAGTGTTGTGGATTAGATGAGGCGCTTAAATAAAAAAGACTTCAAAAATTCTGGACATGGTTGTGTTTTGAAGACAACCAGATAAGATTGAGAAGCTTAAAGTCGGATTCACATCTGATGGTTCTGAAAGACTCGGAGGAGTTGGTCCCTGGTGGCGGACATCGATCAGAACCGCGCAGCCCCCCAGCTGAACTCTTGAGGGAATAGTGGGCGGTCTGCTGTAGAGTCAGATGTCTGAACACGAACAATGAGCTCGTCATTTCTCCTTACATGCTCCACTTTACATTTTTGGACATTTTGATCTGCAGCTTTTATGTATTTGAAGACCATGTGGGTGAAAGTCTTGAAGAACTCTTATGTCATTATCTGGGAGTTTATATTGAAGCAACACACCGTTATTCTGGGTCATTAAGACTCAGATGAGTTTCATCCAACGTCCAGCTGTCCACTCTCATGTTGACATTTTAATCCATTTTTAAACTAATAGCTTTCTGTGATGTTATGGATGAAAGAACGTTGCATCTTCTTTCAGTTCCAGATATTTATTCAATTCTTCCTTTGTTCCTTCCTTCCTTCCCTTATTTTCACCGTATCTCTGAACCAGGAGCTCCACCAACATCTCCCATTAAATAACCTTTACCAGTTCGTTTCACCGCCCCCCCCCCAGTGAGTGAATCCCATTATCAGGGGAATCCCTGCTGCAGTTTCACTGAGCAACAATTTGCCATCATCACTCTGCGCTGCTATCTGTGTTAAGTGGCGTTTGGTGCGTCAGTGGAAGGCAGAATGCTGCCAGTCGCTGTTTCTCTCATCTAACTGGCCTCTCCACATTGTCTGATTGGCTGGCTCCGCATTAATCATTCATCGCTCTTGTGTCAGTGTTGGTGTGCAGCGTGCTAACAAACTAGGTCATTGGGCGCTAACGAAGCCACTCTGAGACCTGACAGGGACGGACATCCTGCTGCATCTGCAGCCGTACCGTCCAGCAAGGCAAGGCGAAGCCGTTACAACACGACTCACTTGTTTCTGCTCGGTCTTAGAATCTACTTTTTTCTATTTGGACACTTTAAAAAAATTATTGGTTTTGCAAACCTGACGACAATAATGTTGTCCAACACGCATACAGATTTCCTCTGGTTTTTACTCATACTTCAGCTCATCAAATAAATGTTATTATCAAAGAATTGGCGAAAAGTAATTTCCTCCAAAGCCTAAACTCTGGGTTTGTGAAAACGGTCATCCCTATAGATGTGAAAAGCCCACTCCACATAATCTCTGTTGGATTTGAGCCAAGAATTTGACTAGGCCACTCCTGCCTAGTTGCTGATGTGTTTTAGTTATGCCCTTCGGCATATGCCTAGCCGAAGGGCAGTTCAATTAAATACAAATCAATTCTCATATTTATATTTGTACTTATATTTAGTGCAAGTGTTGTGAGTAAAAAAAACCTATTTCAATTCAATAATGCACATTCCTATTGACACTCGTTATTAAACAGTGTAGTTATTAAGAAGTGTACAGCAACAAGTGGAGGAGGGGAAACTCATTGTTAATCTCTCCTCTGCATAGCCAGAAAATCTCTGGTCGTTCTGGCATCTTTAAAACGTAGAAACGTAGCTACGATTATTTTTTTCTACTTTATTTAAAACAGTAAGGTTTTGATTTTGTCCATTTAGTAGCATAATTTATAAGAAATTGAATCAGTGGGTGTATCTTAAGCGCCATATAACCCCCACTAAAATTAGTCCCTGCCGGTGACTGATCAGGGATCCGAGCGTGCTTTGGCTGGTGGGACTACTTTCTGTGGGATCCAATCGCTGTCTTCCCTCCGGATGAAAGCCTCGTAGATTGCTGCGAAGGGAGCTCGGCCTCTTCCAGCGCGCGGATGGTACACCTCCCCCTACCCAGAGCCGAGGCGCGGGGACTGGCATGCAAATGAAATTACACAAGATGTAGAGCTCTCCGTTGGTGACGAGAGCTTCCGAGCTTCTGTGTGGCTGTGGAACGGTGACAGAGAGAATTAGCTCCAGCAGAAACACAACCATTGCCGCCGTTTTTACACCAAAAAGAAGAGGGAATGAAAAGAAGACATTCTAGGATTCGTCCATGGTGTTGACACCCTCCCTTCCTCCTCGTTCACGTTGCTGAAAAAGACTTCCTTCATGCCAAATGGAAGCTGTATCAAGACCCTCGTTTCCAAATCGCAACAAATGAGCTATGTTTCTCTGCTCTGTTGCCATGGGTAACACATCTTTTTCTTCTCATTGCTAATCTTGGCTGGTCTTTGACTCTCCCCCATTTGGAAAGCCTGCCTGTTAGCGCAGCTCTGACACAGTTACATGCTCCTGTCAGACATTCCACTGTGCTGCTAAGAAAACACAGAGGTGTCTTTATTTCTAATCTCCATTAGCAGAACAGGCTATAATTTATTTACATTTGGATGTAAATGACAAGTCTACATGAGTTTAAGGGCCTTTGATGTCTTTCTCTAGCACTCATTCGCCATAAAGCACAAATTACGTATCAGCTATAATTTAACACCAGAATCTGGAACAAACTTGCAGACTACTAGCTGCCTTTCCATTCACTATAAAATTGTGCAAATTGAAAGTGCAAAAAATCAATTTGCATAATGCAAACACACCAATTTAGAAAAACCTTCATTAAAGGCTTTTTTTGTTTGTTTGAATGAGGTGCTTCTTCACCCATACATGTATTTCACAAAATTTTGTTTTTTCGACATTAGAATAGATTTACTCTCATTTGTAACAGAAATGCACCTGGTGAGTTTACAGCTGCTCCTGATCAGTGGAGCATCGATCAACATGTTTGATGTCATTTTTGAAGATGACGTTTGACGAAATGCTTATTTATTGTTTATTGCTTGTTCATAATCATTGACCATATGATGTTTTTGTGATGTAAAGCAATTTGAACTGCCTTGTTACAAAAAATAAACTTGACTAAACCAGACAAAAGAGGACGTTAATAGGAACTATTAAAACCTAAAGAAACCAAATGGATTTCTGGCAGGGTTTGTACACCTGTGAATGTTTTCTCACTTGCATCATTTTAACATTGTTCTTGTCTTCTTTTTTTGAAGGTGAATACACAGTGATGACGGCTCATTTCCACCTAAAGAGGAAGATCGGCTACTTTGTCATTCAAACGTACCTCCCGTGCATCATGACAGTCATCCTTTCCCAGGTGTCATTCTGGCTAAACAGAGAATCGGTCCCTGCCAGGACTGTGTTTGGTACGTGGAGTTGTTCTGCATCGACTTTTCTTTTTCCTTACTAGAATGTTTTCACCACTGGCTGAATCAAGGTAATTTAACACCAAAGGCATTTTAATTCCATCTCAAAGCCATTAGAGATTAAGGAAATGGGATATAAGAGACCAGCTGCTAATGGACTGAACAAAGAGCTCATGTTAGTTGGCTAACACGGGTCAGAACATCCGTCTATAGACACGTTGCGGCATGTTGTCGTGGACACAGGATCCAGCTCCCTGCTTGAGAGGAAAAAGCTGTTAGCTGACGATGACTGCCATTGGTTTCACCTGTCAAGTCGCCAACATAATGCACTAAATCTTAAATGTAGGCATGATACATAAAATAAAAGAAGACAATGCTTTGCTAATAATTGCGGACACTACAACAGCTAGATAATGAGGTACAGCATTCTAAAAGTCAAAAAACGTTTTAAATTTTAAAATACTGATCGAGAGGGAAGAGGGTCTGTTACGCGAGCTCGACTTTGACAACCTGAACATGTGGAATTCAATGTGTTTAGGTTCAGATGAACCAACAAGGCAACCCACACACCGGCTCTCTGACAGATCATCAGTAGAGCAGGAGTTTAAATGAGCTAATTCGTTCTCCCAGTGTTCAAATCGTCACTTATTGATAATCGCAAAGAAAACATCAACCTTGAAAACATGATGCTGTGACACACTGAATCTTCTGTTCTTTGTGTGGGAAATGTTTCTGTGGCTTTTGATGTTTAATCCTGATACACTAGTGGAGCTGCTGTCAGTCGGTTGCTATGGCAACGGGTCTCTGTGTAGAGTAGGCAAGAAAAGCGAGAAAATAGAAGGAGTGGTTTTGAGTTATTCTTCAATGGGTTTTCTGCGCCATTTTCCCTTTGCACTGACTTAATAATACCGACATCTCCATGTTTCATTTAGTCACCATTTTGCTCTACCACGGCCATGGATGGCAAGTAAAAGAATCGTCTCTGCAGCGTTGGACTCATGCGTGAAACTTTCTTGATTTAAACAAGAACTTACAACGTGTCTGAAGATGGCGAACATTTGCACTGCAAAGAACCTGCAGAGAGACATAAAAATGATCACAGGTGGATCCTGAAACGTTCTGCTGTCTTGTTCCAGGCGTGACCACGGTCCTCACCATGACCACTCTGAGCATCAGCGCCAGGAACTCCCTGCCCAAGGTCGCCTACGCCACCGCCATGGACTGGTTCATCGCCGTCTGCTACGCCTTCGTCTTCTCCGCTCTGATCGAGTTCGCCACTGTCAATTACTTCACAAAGCGCGGCTGGGCCTGGGATGGGAAGAGTGTTGTGAGTGAGAAGGTAATGAAGAAGAAATCATGTGTTCCGACAGCCTCCATTTTCAAAGATAATTCATTAGCGCTGCACCGCGGCAGATTGTGGCTCCAGAGGCATTTCCTGGAGAGAAAGGGAAATAATTTCTCATTTAATTGTCTGGGTTTGTTTTGTTTTGTTTTTTCAATTTGGCACATTGGTTACACTTCATTGAATTAGGACAGTATGACTAAAGTATGTTCTGTTCATTTTCTATTTTGGGGGGGATTGAACGGTAGAGCCAACTACTTCTCCCCTCCCCCTAACTAATTTCTTGCTGTACTAAAATGCTTTTCACGTATTTGTTAAAACTGTAGGAGTTTGGTCTTAGCGCTGTCTATCATCTCCTTTATGCGCTGCTAGGTGTACTAGTCGTGGAGAAACAGCTCACTGTTACAGGAAGATTCCTTATCTGTCGTTGTCAGTGGTGGTCATGCTAACCAGCATTAGCATTCAGGGAGAAGCTGTAGCTCAGCAGAGAGAAAGGCGGAGTGTGAGCAGCAGGTAGACAAGTGTGATTAACAGTGCTATCACCCTTTTCTTCGCTCGTATTGGTCGTTTCTGACTGAGTGATGTATTTTTGTAGTTAGTGCTGAAGCTTTAAAAGCTACATTTTGTATTAAATCGTCATTTGTTTTCATACATTTTAATGAGTTTTAGCATCTGAAATACTTGAATATGTCAAAATAGCAAAAATAAAATTAATTTGGAAAGTGCTCAAACACTTTTTTCTCTATAAATGATGTAACTGCATATCAAGAGTCTTGACATGTCGAAGAACCAAAGTTCCTTTTATTTGCTTCTTTGGGTAGAAAAATAAATATAAGATCAGGTGTCAGTGCCAAGTTGTTTTTGTCTATAGCTGCTCATGCTTCCTTTTTTTTCTTTGCCATGTTTTAAAATTATGAAAATGAGTGTTCATAGAAAACACGCCGGTGACTGATCTCGTCCCGCTCAGTTTGCAGTCACTGGAAATCCGTGGACAGGTGATGAAAAGCGAGGCTTCGTGAAACTGACCCCCCTCTGTCATTCTGTCAGCAGAAGAAAGAGAAGGCTTCTGTGATGAAGAGGAACAACGCCTACGCCGTAGCGGTGGCAAACTACGCGCCGAACGTGGGCAAGGACTCCAGCACGCTCCCGACCATCGCCAAAGGTGGCGCTGTGGATCCCGGCAAGGCCAAAACGGACGGCAAGGCCCCGGATGCCAAGAAGACGTTCAACAGCGTCAGCAGGATTGACAGGCTGTCGCGGATTATGTTCCCGGTTCTCTTCGGCAGCTTCAACCTCGTCTACTGGGCCACCTACCTAAACAGAGAACCGGTTATAAAGGATATGGTCCCGTCCAACTAGAACCCGGCTTCGGACGGGTTCCGGCCTGTGGAAGAGACGAACCAAATACCTCCAGCCACTGCGGTAGACAAACTTTTTGCAGTCCCGGATTGCTGTGTGATCCTCTTTCTCCACCCATTTTCTACACCGTCTGCAGCACTTTTGAAGAATCCCGGCTTTTGTAAATGTGTACGTATATTTATATATTTAAGGTTTCTTTGTGATACATTGTGTGGTTACTTTGAATCAAGTATTGATTACTTCCTTAAAAGTTATGTCTACGGAAACCTTTATGTGGCCACTGTATATACAAACCAAATGGAGAAAAGACCCTGGAAATTCACACATGCATTTTATTTACTAAAATATTTAGTGTGTTCACCTATTGAAGGTAAAATCACAGTCTTGTTTTTTTTTTTTTTTTTTTTTTTTTTTTTTTGAGTGGAAGGAACTGAAAATAACGTTTTTGGTTTTGGCCATAATTATTTGAGTGACATAATTTTTTAAAAAAATGTTTAAGTAGATAACACATTTGTACAATACTGTTCCTGTTTTAAACTTATAGTCTGGGACAGAAGACAGTTGAAGCAATCTTAACTAAAAAAAAAGGAAAAGGTTTAAAAAAAAGAGATCACTCGTGTGTCAGAAATGATGTCTGTGTTTTTCCAGCGTTTGCGTGCCAGGTTTGATTTCAGTGCAGTACTTCCATAGAAAACCAAGAGAAATCAGGGGGACTCTGGTATGAAGTTCAAAATAGGAAGTGAAAGTATGAGCACCAGGAAGCACCGTCTTGGCTGACTGTTTAGCATTAGCATCAGCGTTAGCATTTAGCTGTGTTCATATTTAAGGGAGTGACTTTACGTCAGCGCGTGGTTTCATTTCGTCCATAAGGATTTTTTTTAATATACCTTCCTTCTTGTCAAAGAATCATTTCCAGCCTGTTGGTTTTCGGTACATTTCATAATTATGTACTTTGACGTTTTTGTTTCTGAGTATGAAATGGTGTCCTGTGCCACGAGTTGTTTTGTGTCGACCATGCTGTAATTCATCCAGGGTTGGGGGACATTTTGGAACAACCTACCGTTCAAAGTAATCTTTAATAATCTATAAAATGATTAGGGAGGGAGATGTGGTTAATAATGCCTTTCAGCTGGAGTACGGACTGGAATCAGAACCGAAGCAAATGTGAAAATAGTTTCAAACGAAGTTCTTAGATAATAATATGCAACTGCATTAAGTCATACATGATTTGAGTGCTTTCTGACAATTTACCTCCATAATTGTGTAATCATATGCTATTGTTTAACCCTCCTGTTACATTGCCATTATCGGCAAACCGGATGAGATTCATTTTATGTTTTGCACTTCAAGTATTATGGCTGAGCTAAAAAACTCATAAATTATCTTTTGTGCTATGTACTAAAAATTGAAGCCATTTTTCTAAAAAAAAAAAAAAAAAAAAGAAAGAAAAAGTGGCAGAAACAGTCACTTGTTGCATTTTTTTTGTCATTCTGCAAAATAATTATTTTCATTTTATTTTTTTCACACAGTGTGATGAAAATGGTGATTGTGTAGTTATGACATGGAACTTGCTTGTTGATTTGTTTATGAGCTAAACATTCATAAAATGTTTCGCTGCTGTTGTTTTTTCACCAGAGTTTGTGTCACACCCCATCACCTCTGATTACATTTCTCCCAGTTGGATCCTGTTCACTCTGGTATATATATAAAAAAAACTTACAGAAATGAGCCATGATCGAACCAAAATAACGTATAGAAATCTCCATAGTGACAGATATTTATATGGATCTCCTATGGCAACTACAAGTTGATGTACGGTCTATATGATCCATCCCACATTAGACAAAAGCATTTCTCTCCACTTTTCTACTGCTGTTTTAAATGGTTGAATGCATTATTTCTCTGCAACCACTTTGTCTTATTGTTTATCTTTTTTTTTGTTTTTAGCTGTTTTTCTTGAGGGGTCATTTTACGTCTCAATGATTTTGTATATCAATGTTTTTTGTTGGTTTTGCTCTTGACTTTTTTGGTTTTAAAACTGCTTTATACCAGTTTTCCAACTATTCTGTGGTCCCTTGAGGAGATTTTGTTCCAGTTTTAAACTAATTGTCAGCAAAACACACACACAAAATCCCAATAGGAGATTACTCGAAGTTGTATAGCCAATACAAAGAACCGAATAAAATCAATAAATTTAGGGTGAAATTTGACATGTTCAGAAAACATGACAGATAAATTGTGTTTTTATTATTATTAATCTTCATTTCTTGAATAACTTAAAAACTGAGTGAAGCAAACCGATGGAACATGGATACAAAATGGAAGAGGGTGGCGACATTTAAAAGAAAAAAATGTATGAATTTGTAAAAAAGGAACGACCAGAAAGTCTTTTATACTCCATTTAGACATGATGTCATCAAAATGATAAATTCATCTACATTGCTGTCTCTTTTTAGTGTAAATGATACAGATTTTATTAAAATGATGAGATGGAAAAACTTGAGGAAAAAAAGGTTTAAAAGCGAAGAGAAGAAGTGTTCTGTTTCTGTTTACAGTAAGACGAGTCGCCCCCTGCTGGCCAGCTAAAACCTTATAGTGACATACGCAGAGGTCATGGTGATATATCTATTTAATTCGGTTGTTAAAAAGACTAAAACATTTCTGTGGATTTGAGATGACTGGTTGCTTTTGCATTAAGCAAAGGAAAACAATTTGCCTGAAAAAGACAAACAAAAAGAGGAACTGGAGGTAGAAAAGTGAACTGGATCCAACTGCAGACAGAAGGAACAGAAATGTAGAAGAAATGCGTGTGTCGGTTTTACGTGTTTAACTTTCGAAATGTAACAATTGTGTTCTCCGTAAGCGATGTTGAGATTTGTTGCGGTGGGAGAGACATTCCCTCGACATCGTTGCTTCAGGCTTCCTCTGAAATGTTTCCACCATATTTCAAGACAAATCAGGAAATCCTAAGACATTTGAGAGCGACACCGCAAATATTCCAAACATATACACCTGATTCTAACTCCAGTAAAACAACAACAAAAAAGGGTCAGACATCTTGTTTTGTTTTTCTTTCACATCCGGCTAATCGTTTGTGTTTGTGGCCTGAAGTGAAAGGACGCTGTCGAGCTTTAAAGGAAAATCAGAAGGTACATGCGGTTGTCATGTAATTTATTCACATTAGCATCAAAATAGAACAGGAGCTACCAGTTGTTCTGCTTCACAAACATCTGGCACGAGAAAAAAAAATCTGAATATTACGTTAAAATCCATGTCTGTGTCATGAAGTCCATCAAGGTTCTAAGGACTAATTTATCCTCCCTGAATTACAGAAATGTGTGATATAAAACATTTGTTGATGATTTTTGTTTGTCATTGCATATGTATATATCTATAAACAATCATATTCAGCCTCATTTATATTCTCATAAAGTGCTCTGATTTGACTTTACAGCTTCATTTGCTTAATTTTGCCCAATTCATCTACTTATCCAAACAGACTTTGCATGCAGGTTCGTTTCACCCATCAGGAGATCCAGCTCCACCTTTTCTCCTGGCATCCAGGCTCAAACTTCAAAACATTCCAGGTACAGATGATTGTTCAGAAGATGGAGGACTGATTTAGTGCACACTTGTTTTTTTTTTTTTTTAATAAAACACATTCTTCCAGCTCTTCTCATCTATTTTTGTGACGCTGGCCGTTGGCACCGCAGAGGCAAACAGCAGCTGTAGATTAGACTCCCCATATTGCTTCTTCTGATGGAGACTTATTGATTAAAAAAAGAAAACAAGTGGACATCTCTGGTTCAATAATATAATAAAATGGTAAAAAAAAAAAAGTAGGGTACAATATGTGGATAAATAATTTGTTTTTTTTCTTCTTTCTATTCAACTAACCTATCCCCCCCCCCTTTTGGTAGCAGCGTTTCGCCCTTGTCTCTCTGGAGTACGAGCCGAGCAGCTCTTCTCTTCCTCTGCAGGAGTCGATCCTGCCAGCCAGCGCTGCCATGCTGCCAACAACCATTACTATTTAGCCAGAAAGCCCCGGTGGCACTGAGCTGTGATGCGGGGCTCGTTTCCTGACCTCCTTCTCGAGCCGTGCCTCCGTCCTCAGTCCACGGCCGACCCCCGCTTGTCTGCCCAGAGATCGTGCCCTGACAGAAATCTCTGCTGATGGACGGGAAGTGTCCCGCCGGCCGCACAGCGCTGCGTGGCCGCTTGCAGACACGCCTCAAAAGTCCACATAATTGACGGCCTTGCGGGGGGTTTTAGGAAATGTCAGATCGCGGCATTCAAGCGAAAAGAGGCCTTTTGATACATTCAAAGAGCATTCTGGTGGAAACCGTCCAGTTCTAACACACTCATTTTTAAAACACCGATTGCTAAAAGATTCACTCCCCTGAAGCTGTTCAACATTTTGTTGAAAATGTTGAACAGCTTACAGGGTCAAAGGTCCTTGCCGCTGACCTGTAACCCAAAATGTCAGCTCCCTGAAAGCTCTTGCAAGGTCTACTGTTGTTATTGTAGAATTTATTCTTTTGTTTTGTTTTTGTTTTGCGTGGACTTTTTGTGCTAAGTCCACACAGCGTAGTAGGACTGAAACGATTAATCGTGATGGATAGATTATTCAAATAATCAGCAACTAATTTAGTAAATGATTAATCGTTAACTCAAAAAACAAAACGGCCATTCGCCACACATCAGCGTGGCTTCAACACACTAATGAAGCCAAAACCACAAAAAAAGTATATGTACATTTTGAATTGAAGATTAAAAAACACATTTTTCTGTAAATTACTTTCACTCAGAAGTTCTCAAGCAGCTCAGTTTTCAATTCACCTGGTTCCAATTCTGTAAAAAAAATAATAAACGATTATGCACCTTTACATATCCAATTATTAATCACTTAATCAGAAAAATAAAATAAAATGACCAGCTCTTCTGTGTAGGGCGAGCAGAAATGGCCGAGATTTTCACACCTTGACGTAAAAAATATTTTTAGCTGCCAAACGCGAATAAAGAGGTTTGAGAGCGACCAACTTCCTGGTTTCCCTTTGTCTCACTTTTTAAAATATGCTGTTTATATTGTGACTCTGAGCTTGTTTGTCCGGTTTATCATTTGCCAGCAGATGTCCAGAAACACTTCCCAAGCATCATTTTGTCTGGGGCAAAGTGAAAAATAAATGAATAGGTAAATATATATATATATATATATATATATATATATATATATATATATATATATATATATATGCATATATATATATACATATATATATATAAATTAAATTAATGACATGTTTTCAAGAGGGTGGCTCTATCATCTCACAAAGGACAGTGTGCATTCTCTAGATCAAAGCTTCTAGATTCTAATTGTCAAGAAAAATAAAATAAAAACCACAACAAGCCGCATCTAGGGCTAATAGATGCTTATTATTTCTGCTCCAAGGAGAAAAGCAATAATCTATTCGAGGCAGCTTCGTTGTCATAGCAACTGACGTCAATTTTTAAAAAAATCCCACGTCGAGTGGGCGGGGCTAACGGCTGTCAGACTGGCTCCCTGACGCATAGCGTCATTTCCAGGCGATGCAGTTAATTCCTCTCCCTGCTTTCCGCCAAAAAATAAACCCGTAAGCGAGAAACTAACTCATAGTTTTCGTTTAGAAAAGAAACACAACATCGCCTCCACAAATAAAGGAAGAACAGTGGTGTCGAGAGAGCGTCGAGTGAAGTAAAACAAAACAGTCATGCAGCTGAACGAAGCGGGTTTCCCTCAAAATGTCGCTAATTTCCGTATCGATAATCAAGTTGCCTGGCGTTGTGCTTGTTTAAGCTGCCTTTCGACATTTCGAAAAACTAAAATTACTCGTTTCAAGCGAAGTGGTTCAAGTTAGCATTTTTTTTATCGAGTTCTGGTTCGAAATAAATACGTGTCCCATAATTCCTTGCTGCTGACCTGTGACCCAAAATGTCAGCTCCCTGAAAGCTCGCGCAAGGACTACTGCTGTTTGCAGCGGGTTTATTTTTGTTATGGGTGTTATTTATTGTTCACTAAGCTCTCACGTAGCTGCTTCTGTCACGTTAGCATGCTGCTAACCTTGCTAATGCTGCGCAGGTGGCTTTCGGGGGGTTTGTTAGCATTTCTCCTTCCCTGATAATAATAATGATAATGTTGTGAGGTGTCTAGAGAACATGACGTTTTTTCTCATCAAACAGCTCCGCGACATTTCTCTGTTAGGACGGGTTTTACCGTTTAAAGTGTGTCGGAGGAAAATACCGAGCTGCAACACTAGCTACAGGGTGCTGAGGCACCGCTGGATGAAAGGTCTGCCTGTATTGTCCAGCAACTGCAGGAGCTTTAGCACACAGCCTGCCAAGGTAACACACCCACCTCAGAGTCAGTGAAGGCAACGGTGCATGGATTGCTGTTAGTAAATGTGAAATATTTAATTTACAGCTAACAGAGTTAGTTGTTCTGTGTTGATCCTAAGGATGCTGTCGACCTGTCCAAGTTCCCTGTGGACAGAATCAGGAATTTTTGCATCATTGCCCATATCGACCATGGAAAAAGCACCTTGGCTGACAGGCTGCTGGAAATGACAGGTAGAAAGCTCCACGGAGTCTGGCACCTCTATAAAACAGTATCAAACAGCTTGAATGTGGACTTTTGTTTTGCCTGAATATTCTCCAAATCAAACCACATCTTTTCAGTCTGAGACATTTGTCGTCACATCTGGTGTTCCCCAGGGCTCTGTTCTTGCTCCTGTTTTTGTTCGTAGATCATTATCATCACTGTCCTCTTTGCCACTTTGTCGGCGTGTTTGGAAATGTGACGTAGGCATGTGTGTCTGTTGTGCTCGAGCAGTCTCTCACTGTTGATACAATTGGAAAACAGGCGCCATCGCAAAGACGGAGAAGAACAAGCAGGTTCTGGACAAGCTTCAGGTGGAGCGGGAGCGAGGGATCACCGTGAAGGCCCAGACTGCTTCATTGTTCTACAGCCACGACGGACAGGAGTATCTCCTAAACCTCATTGACACACCGGTAGAGTCCCACTTCTTCACAGTTCAAAATGTGTTTTGAGCACCAAATGTTTGTAGTAATGTGACTAAATATGAAAGATATCTTGCAAAGTTTCCCCCAGAAAAACTTGTTAAGCCCGGTGGTTGGGTGTCAGGGCGGTCATTCATCCAACGTCATGTTTTTGAATTTATAAAATTTTTAAAGTTGACAGGAAATTTGAAAATATCACTTGATAGTCATGTGTTATTGAAAGATTAGGACCTGAACACCAACTATAGAGTCTTAAAAAATGCAAACATTTGAAAAAGACTTAAATAAATAAGCAATGCTTAGCCAGGTGAGGGCACAAGTAAAGCCTGGTGGCCCGCCAGGCTTGTAATACACTTGGAGAAACCCTGTCTCTTATTAAGAATTTGTTTTGAATGCAGCTTTGCCTTCTCTCCAGGGCCATGTGGACTTCAGCTACGAAGTGTCCCGTTCACTTTCCGCTTGCCAAGGTGTCCTGCTGATTATTGATGCCAATCAAGTAATAAATATATATTTATTAATTTTCCGAGGATTTATCTTCCTGCATGATGTGAGGTCTCTCATCTGTTGTTGTCTCTCAAAGGGGATTCAGGCGCAAACTGTCGCCAACTTCTACCTGGCCTTCGAAGCCCAGCTGGCTATCATACCTGTGATTAACAAGGTACTTTCAGACCTTCCCACTGGGAGTTGCCCGTGCAAAGCAAGGTGACCTTATTCCGTCTCCTCAGATTGATTTGAAAAACGCCGACCCGGAGCGAGTGGAGTCGCAGATCGAGAAGGTGTTTGATATCCCACGCGAGGAGTGCATCAGGGTAAAAGATGGCGGGAAGACGCTAACCGTTTCCCCGTACGTTTCACTGCGCATGCCTCACAAACGTCTCCTCCTGTGCGTCAGATTTCAGCCAAGCTGGGAACAAACGTGGAGGCGGTTCTTCAGACGGTCGTCGAAAGGATCCCGCAGTAAGATCGGCGAGTTAGTCCTCTCCGTCTCTCGCGTGAAGTCTCGGTTTGCTCACGCTCTCCTTCTTTCCCCCCCCCAGTCCTGGAGGGAGCGTCGACGACCCGTTCAAAGCTCTGGTGTTTGACTCCAATTTCGACCACTACAGAGGAGTGGTGGCCAACATCGCCGTGATCGGAGGTCGGGTGAAGAAGGGTGACAAGATCGTGTCGGCGCATCTCAGTAAAACCTACGAAGTCAATGAGCTGGGCCTGCTGCGGCCAGAGGAGCACGCGACACAGAAACTGTACACAGACGGCGTTTATCGTTATCTACTGGTCTTTGGTTTACAGTTTATTCTTTGCCAGTCAAACTTTTTACAGCCTGGAAAATAAAAATCCAGGTCAAGAAAATATAAAAATGCTGAACCTTCAAAACATAAATTTATTGGAGATCTGT